GCTCCGGATGCTCGTGCGGCTACGTGAGCATAGTGGGTAAAAAAATTATCCTTCCTCTTTTTTTGAACAAAATGCCGCATTTTGCACCTCCAGAACAACACATACACAGGCAAAAGCAAAAGCACTAATGGAACAAAGGTAATGGAGTGAAGAAAGAAAGCATGCTTTGCTTCATGGTGCCTTTTTATTTTGATTTTGTTTGCTGTGTCTTCTGTTAAATTCCCTGCCTTTCTTTTTCGTTTATGCCTTGGCGTTGATAAAACTATATCACAGAATATATAGAATATTAGGTCATTATCTTCTAAACCAAGAGCTGTGTCTCAATGAAAACACCACGCTGGCTTCTTCTTCCTTGAACCACAAGCCATCCAAAAGCTTTCTATTTCCTTCCACATCTATCTTCTTGTTTGGGTCATGTTCTTCTTAAACGACTCCTGATTCAGTTCCGATTTTTCACTGGCCTTTTGCGCTTAAATCATGCATTCATGTTGTTTCTTCATATTCAACGAGAAAGGTCAACCGATCATACTCTCTGCATAGTATTAAAATCCAGACCTAGAAAGAGAAACTAAGAATAAGGGACAAGGGACAAAACCAACATGAACAGGTGATAGAATCTCAATGTCGACATCACCCATAAACTGTAATGTTAAATATAGGTCATAGGATGTGTCATTGTAAATTGAATCCTTTATCATTTCGCTTTGCATGCACTTAGTTCCTAAGAAAAAATTCAGACGCACCGCACAAAAGGTCAAATCAATATAAAGAAAAGAAAAGAGCGTGCGGTTGTTTCTCTTCACACACCGTTTTTACAACTCCAGTTTTGTTTCTTTTGGGTTTAAGTATAACAAAGTCAAGATCATGCGTGTCCAACCTTTTGCATTCTCACCAGTTCTCATGCTGAAAAGATAAACCATGCTGTCTTTTTGCTGCATCTGGCTCGCCAGCACACGAAAGAAAACAGTAGAACCTTGAGGAGGGTTGCATATATATATATATATATATATGCACACATACACTCGCTCATATGTGTATCAAACCATATCATATCATACTATATCATATCATATCCGTCCTTGACGAAGTGCTGTTGTGGCCTCTATTTGCTCAGCTCAGCACTGCAACATGTCAGAGAGAGCTTTGCCTGTCACCTGTCACAGCTCCAAAATCACTTGTCAAAAGCAGCCACATCGCAAGCCCTACCCATGCAAAGTCCACTGCGTTCCCCTAGGATGAGTCAGCCGCCATGCAAGTCAAAGTGCGAACACCGGAAAGAGGTCTTTCAATTGATTCGAGCCCGACTGCTCATTCCGTCAGAAATGGCAGTCCGAATGCGAAGTCACGTCGCGAAGATCTGACTACGCCAGACTTGAGGATAGTTCGCTTTGCAGTCGCCTCTCGAGTAACGGTGATCGCCTTATCCGTGTTGTCGGACTGGATCATCCCAGATCACAATCCCGATCCTTCGGTTGAAAGGCGACTGTCGACATCTCGATGGCTCAGGGCCTTCACACGATGGGATGCTGCTCGCTTCACGACGATTGCCTTGGAAGGCTACCAGAAAGAAGAGGACTATGCCTTCATGCCAGTCTTGCCTATGGCCATGTCGATCGGTACTCGGGTCCTTGGCATCCTCGTGCCCCACATCGGGCCATCTGCAACCGTAGCAGTAGGCGTAGTTATTACGAACTGCTGCTTTGTGCTTGCTGCGTGGTTGCTCTACCGGCTGGGCTTGCTGGTGCTGCGTGACCAGCTGCTTGCGTTTCGCTCTGCCATGGTCTTTTGTTTCTCACCTTCCAATGTGTTCTTCAGCAGTGTTTATACGGAGAGTCCCTTTGCTGCATGTTCCTTTGGCGGACTTCTGCTGCTGGAGCTCAACCGACCTTGGCTGGGAGCACTGCTTTTTGGGATAGGGACCGGGCTCAGGTCCAACGGAATACTGAACGCAGGCTTCTTGGCTTACCAATGTCTCTACATTATCGTTCAGGATCTACAGAGAGGACACACGCTGCTTCGGACGCTGCTCGAACGTTCAAGAAAGCATGCTGCGCTGATGTTAGGAGTGGCCTTAAGCGTCGTCCCGTTCGTGGTGTTTCAAGCGTATGCATGGCAGAAAGAGTGCTACGCCGGAGATTCTTGTGCTGAAGCTGGACAGTGCAAGCTCTCTGAGCAACCTCCGGATTGGTGCCAGGGTTCCATGCCGAGCATATACATGCATGTGCAGAAGAAGTATTGGCAGGGAGGGCTGTTCTGCTATTGGCAACTGAAACAAATACCAAACTTCGCATTGGCAGCACCTGCTTTGGCTTTGACTGCATCTGGAGTTCACCACATTCTGACCGACTTTGGCAGACAGCTGGGACGTTGGACAGAAGTGAGCTGCGAGTCCAAGCCAACCCCAAGAGCGGGCGCTGCTCTTTGTCGGGCAGTTCTCGTTTGTCCTTTGCTTCCTCATGCGCTTCACTGGGGCTTCCTGGCTGCGTATTTGCTTCTCTGCGCGAATGTACAGATAGCCACTCGCGTGCTGGGATCTGGGTGTCCCGTGTTTCACTGGTTCTTGGCCTCCTTGTTATTTTCGCGGAGTCCGGGCAAGACGTCCAGGCTGCTAAAATGCTACATCGGCATCTTTAATTGCCTGGGAATCATCATGCATCCTAACTTCCTTCCCTGGACATGACGCGAATGCGAAATCGTGACATCGGAAAACAGCTGCACCCCGCAACCCATTGCAGTCTGTGACGTGTCAATGTAATGCATGCCTGGATTGCCGGCTGAATGCAGAATCCTTGGATGTCATCGCCAGCATTGACAGATGGGAAGAAGGGAGTAGCTATCCCAGCCAGCACATGGCCGATCTGTCTGCAGGAGGGTTTGGGCAAAGGGATCGCTCAAATTCATTGAACACCCAAGCGCCTGAAGGATTCCATGCGAAAACGCCCCCGGTGCCATGGCAGAGTGATGATTGACACAGCATGCCACATGCCTGACATATGCCAGGCTCACAAGTTGGACGCTGTTTCTCCAGTGGAGGACTGGCCTGCTGTTGTTCAGTTTTTGATTTCGCCGAGATATGGGCGACTTTGTGTGTCTGAGGAGTACAGACGATTGGAGCCGTTGATCAAGCAGCCCTTGAAGGTTACATCCAAACGGAGGCAAGCAAGTCATCTGATGCGATGATGACTCTAGGCTGGCTCGGCCTATTTCCTGGTCAACAGCAGATGGTGCTCCCCCTCGCAAGTTGAGACAGCTGTCGGTCACATCCATGCGATTCTAAGATAGGTACACTGAATGGCTTCAGTGGGTTGGCCTGGCACCGGAGATGCTCAGCCATGGCAATCTCGAGCTTTCCCTCTTCCGAGGCCACCCGAGCGTCCAGAGCCCACAGCTGCGGCCCGCAGATCCGCCCGTAATAGACGGCCGGGTGCTTTCAGCTTCCAAGCTTGGCCCTTTCGCTTCTCCGAACGTGACGCCACTTGGCAGGGCTGGACCTCTCCCTCTCTCAGGGCGGTTCCGAAGGTCTGAGGCCGCTGGCACCTCAAACTTCCAAGCTAGAGTCAATTGTAGTCACTAAAGTCCGCAAAAGAAGAAGCTGTCGCCAAACGCCGAGCACAGAGGCGCAGTCACTCCTGGACGAAAGATCGCCCTGGCGAGATCGACAACCGTGCGCTGCTGGAGGTGAGCCGGGAGGGGAGACAGCATCGCCAAAGTTGTGGGGTCGTCTGAAGCGTAGAGGTTGGTTCGACAACGGCGATGAAGCGGTCCTTGAGCGAGCATGCCGACTATGAGATAGTTCCAGAGGAGAGGGGGTTGCAGACAGGTTTTGGCAACATCTTTCCACTGGACAGCTCTTGGAGGATGCCTGGGATTTGCTCTATGACTGGTATGGTGCTGCACTCACGGATCCCATTGAGTACTCAGCTGTTTTGTCCCTTCCGTTCCCAGCCTTTAGCCTCTTTTGCCTTTCAGGTGGCGGACCTCCGATCAAGCGACGTGCAATTCGAGAGGCGCAAGGCGGCGTGATGGTCGAGCTCTTTGGCCTTTCTTTGAAGGCCGGGAACTTCGTCTTCATGTAGCCGTAACGGCTCGGCAAGGGCGGATCATCCACTCAAGTCCTTGAGGCGTACCGATCTTCTGATATGAACGGCTTGCCGAAGGAGGTGAAAGGGCGAGGGGAGGGAACAGTCTGCGCGGAGCCTCCGGATGTTTACTGCAGATTATCGAGTCCAAGTATGCGACTATCAGGGAGCTGAAGGCAGGAGAGCCCGAGTCTTCGGCTGATGCTCCCAGCCCTACGTCGCCCAGGAAAGACTCTGCGAAGAGATGGAACTTGATGCCCGAGACGTCCCTCGGCTGGAGTCTGGTGAAAGGTTCCTGTTTTACAAGGTTTCCATGCCAATCACTTTTAGGTACGCATCTGGGACTTTTTCGACAACAAGCCCTTTGCTTCATTGGAAGAAGACTTGGAGATGCCCTCAGTGGAAACTGGGCTTGCCGTCTACAAAGGCTCCGAGACGTTGTCACTGAGGACGGCTATCTACATGACAAGCGGATAATGGACAACAATCCGATTCTCCTCGAAGAGCGAGATGCGAACGGCGAGTTCACCTTTGTAAAGGCTGGAGCATCAATCTATGTGACATGCACACGCAGTGAGTGGCGACTGAAGTCTGAGGACATGCAGACGTCCAGTCAAGCAGCGGCTCCGTGCTTATTCCCGTGTGTTGAATGTTTTCAATCATGTCCAGTTTGACACTCCAGCGTGTGAGGCTGTGACCTCAAGTGGATCCGGGTACTATTCCTCCTACAGCTCCGCAGACGTGCCCATGGATGCAGTCTCAGAAAACCACTGAAAACGCGCGCTCAGGGCCTGAGCTGTGCTTAGGGCATGGCTCTTTCTCGCCGAGGACGGGCAACCGATCCAGAGAGGAGCCGTTGGCCTGCAAAATCTTGGCAACACCTGTTTCATGCCGCTGCCCCGGTGCGCCATCCTCCCTTTTTTTTCAAAGCCAGCGGAACGGAAGGGGCTTGCGGGCGTTGGGCTTGTGTAATGGCTCAGGAACAGCTCCATCCAGTGCCTTTCCAACATCCCTCAGCTGAGGGAATATTTCCTGGATTTGGACAAGGAGCTTTAAACTAATACAAGCACCCCGCTCTGAAATCATCGCTTCCTTCTTGGGCTGGACTGTCCCAGCAAGAGGAGCGGCTCAATCGCACCGCGCACAAGACGCAGGGCAAGCTTGCTGAGTCCTTCGCAGATCTGTCCACGACTCATAGCCTGAGATGCGTTCCGATTTTTCGTTTTTTTGCTTCGAGTTGGGGGTGCTTAGCTTTTTTTGACATTGTGAGGTTGAAGATGATGTGGAGAGAAAACACTGCGAAGGCTGGTCTGGCGGATCCAGGTCTGATCGCAACATCCTCTGTCCGCTGCGAACCAGGTGGCCCCAAGAAACTTCAAGTATCAGGCTGGGTGCACTTCTGAGAGCAGATAACTAGGTGGCACCTTGGGAAACTCTAAAAACCTCCCTGATGGTTCTTATAGAGGTACCTATTCATAAGTGCCTTTAAGGGTCCCCCAAATACAACCCAGATAATTGCAATTGTGCACAAGCTGCTCCAGGTTGGCCAGTTCGCCGAGCAATTCAGCGGGTATGGGCAACAGGCAATGCAAGAAAGCTCACGTCGAGAGGCTTGAACATGTACTGCGAACTGGAATGCTGTCGTCAGGATTCTATGGAGCTCATAGAGTATGTGTTGGATGGTTTGAAAGAGGCATTCCACTGGTAGCCCTGCTCGGTGCTGGTGATGTCGATATTCTGTCCAGGACTGCAACAGTGTCCAGGGTCCCAAGCCGTACATCGAGTTGAAAGAGGCAAGATGTCAGATTTGTTTTCTGCATTGCATGTGACTGTCAACATGCCACGCCTCCTCCGACATGCGACTAACAGCTATCGCTCTATTTGAGCAGAGGCCGACATGCCGAACTTGGATCTACATGTTTCATGTGCTATTTCTGACATGTGTATCTCGACAAGGCTTACCCTCACTCGCCGGACTGGCATGTTCGGGGTCTTCGACTAGTTTTCTTGTGTCCACGGACTGCCCCGTCGCAAATCTGATATGGCCAAGGGCTCCAGAATAAAAGGCGACGGATCGTCCAGGCCGCAACACATACGAAGATGTTACCATGCCGACCGCTGAATCACTGCACCCACCCTTGCTGCCGTCTCGGCAAGCGTTCTTTTCACCGGGCAGTGTGTCTGCCAGTCGTTAAGTTGTTTTTCGCTGACACTGATGTGGCGTTGGGGCCAAAGTCGAAAACTGAAAAGATGCACGGCGAAGTACATTTCAGAATGGGACAACAAGAATACTCGAATGCTTCCCGGAAGCTACAGAGACATGTCGATTACTTCGCCATGTGGAAGCATCATGTTCGATCTTTTGAACAAGTGCAGTGTAGCATCGAACGAGTTGCACAAACGAGGGTAGCCAAGCGAACTAAGCGTCATGCTACCCCAGACTTCCTATGGGACTAGGGGCACCCAGCAAAATTCCACCGCCACCGCCACCGCCACGACGCTATACCACCCTCATCGTCGTCGTCATCGTCATGGTCATCGTCATCGTCATCGTCATCATCATCATCATCATCATCATCATAGTCAGCACCATCACGATCACGGCTTGCAGCATGACGTTCCATGCTCCGGGGACGTGTTGAGTATGAGGCAATTGAACAAAAGCAGCACTACACCAGGCACCAGGTGGTAAAGCAAGCGCCGGCTGATTCTCTGGACCTTGAGTAGCAGAAAGCCTCCTCCAAAGGCTGACGGAAGGCCCGACGAAGAGGTCGCACGGGAAGCGTGGGCGCCTCTATGAAGAGCTGTTTCTAGATTGCTGATTTGGCAAGTCTCGCATGTGCTCCCAGGTTAGCTGCCTATCGCCAGCGCAACAGCTCCAGAGTCGATGATCTCTTCGTCGGCCTTTTCAAATCGGTGGTGCGATGTCCGGAGAAAGAGCGGTATCCTGAGAAGGGTGTAGCAATGCCATGCTCATGTTCTCAAGAGAGACTGCCACTGAAGGTGTGGACGAGTGTCGGTGACCTTTGACCCGTTTCTGTCCGCGAAACTGTCCTTGACGAGCACGGCTGGAACCCTGGATCTGCCTGGATCACCTCCCCAAAAAACGGTGGCATGTATTGCGAGGTGTGTACAGTACCAGGAAAGTGGTGAAAGAAGGGCGTGTTCGATGTTTTGAATCTCTGATGCTGCTCACTCTGTGATGTGTTTTTGCTCGTTTTGCGTTCTGACTGTGTCAATATATCGAGCTGTCAACGCTGCACTCCGTGCATTTGAGTATACGAGACATCCGCCTAAACTCGCAGTGGAGTTTTCAGCTAATAAAGGGGCGTCGAGTCACACTTATGGGAAGTGTGAGTATGCAGTTTGCCCGTTTGATTCTGTGCTGCCATTTTGGAGCGAGCTCAGGCAGAGCAGCGCCAAACGTCTTTCCCTCTCCTGCTGGCCGTTGCCTCAGATGATGTGTGGCCGGTCTCAATCTTCGGTTTCTTGCGAAGATAAGTTCTGCCTGCTGACAGCATGAGGTGCGGGACTCTGTCAAAGGCTATCAGCAGGCGGAGCTTGCTGTCTGTGGCTACATGCCAAAGCCCCCCTCTTCCTTGCTCTTCTTATGTATCTGGTGCAGGTCAAAGTTCGCGTCAACAAAGAAGCCAGTGCTAGTGTCCAAGCTTCTCCTGGAGCGCTTTCTGGTAAGGCACCAGCAATCCCTGAATTAGCGCTAGGTCAAGGAACTCATCCAAGCAGCAGCCGATGAAGTCGGTGAAGGACGCTTGCCTATGCAACATCTGCTGCTTCACTTAGCCCGATGCATATCAAAAAACCCCGAGACCGTTGAACATTGGAGCGTAGCTGCTTATAGTAGCTGGTCGAACAGGTTTACAGACAGGATTTCATGGGAAATTGGCTAGCGCACGTCCGGAAATGAGGGCCAGCTCGTCTGCTCAACCGTAGCGACCCAAAGCCTCAAGGCCAAGGATCCCTTGGTCACGACCCCCGAACCGTCCAGGGCAGTTGCGGTTCAGGACTTGAGGCATCAAGATGCATATTGGTCGAAGTCTGGAACAAGAAGGCGCTGCAGAATGCATCCGCCCCATCATCCGCAGCATCCCCTTCCGGAGGTCCACCAGTTCATCGAGGAGAATACTTGTGTGGACAGCATCCGGGCGGAGGAAAGGGGCTGACCATGACCTCTCGATCACATGGCCTGTCCGCTTTCAGGACCACCTTCTCCTGAGCGAAGTTTCGGATGCAACGGCTTTCCATGTGACCAACGAACAACGCGCTCTTCTGAGTCACTTGACTCTGAAACAGAGCCCAATAATAGATAACCGACGCCGTGAGGTTGGGGCACATCGGGATCGAGCTACTCCATGACGGCCGGATTCCTGGCGTATCGGAGGCTTTTCAGCGGACCCCCAGCTTTTCCACAGGCTCTCAACAGCCCCGAAGAGAGCCGTGGCCCAAGCAGTGAGGCAGCAGGTCACCAGGGACACAACCACCTTTACCAGGCGAGCCTACCCCGAGCTCTTCGTCTTCCTTTGGTGCTAGGTCCTCTGAGTCTCGTTGTGCTTGCCACGGCGAGCCGTGTTCATCACCTGCGGGGGCTGCCGAGGCTGTGCTCAATCACAGGAAGGCACGCGTCAGCCAGCAAGTGTACTGCATTCCCATAGCAGATTTGTTCGGTCCACTGGGTCAGACCAGGCGTCCAACTCCAACTCGGTTTGGTCCTCCTTTGACCATCTCGGTCCCACGCACAGCCGAACTTTGCTGTACCAATGCCGGTGCGATGCAGTCAAGCCCGATGAATCCCAGGAGTGCCCATCCTTCTGGCCATCCGAAAAGCTGTCGGAAACCCGGAACCTGGCACTGGTTGGGATGAGAAGCCACGGAAACTGAGGCCACGATGCGAGAGATGTATGCGCAGGCAGGGGCATCTTCAACGAGTTTCCATCAGAAGATCTCTTGCAAATAGTTGGACACCGGGCTTATGGAGTTCTCATCGAACTGCTCTAGCCTAGTATGTAGTAACTCGTAATGTGTACCTTTTGACATGCAGTGCTGCCATGTGCCGCATCGCGGCAGCTCTGGGAGTTTCCCAGGTTAGACGGTACATGAAGCAGACTCTGGACTTCCAGGTGGCGCCGGAGGTCCCGTTCCTTTGTCCCTACCGCTTTTTTTTCACGCAGGCAGAGGGCCTCTGCTGAGGCCTGGCGCATCGTCCGCTGCGAGAAGTACTCCGCGCGGGATGGAACTCTCATCGATGCAGAGAGCGACGAGCTCCTGGACTTGAAGGCATCCAGAGTCACTTTAAGCTGTGAAAGGATGATTTTAGAGGAGCACATCAGCTCCAGCAAGCGACAAAGACTGACAAAGACCTTAAGCCTCCTAGACTCGCTCACCGGTGCCTGATTGCCGACTGGTAAGGGCTCCTAGCAGTCTTTGCTTTGGACTGTAAGGCGGCTGCTGTCTAGCGGCCACGGACATCGCAAACCACGGGGTGAGGTTTGCACGAAGAGGAACGAAGCTTACGCTGTATAAGTATAAACGACCCAAGCAACTTCCGGCGGGGTGTGAACGCACCAACACGAGCATAAAGGCGTCGACCCCTTGCAGGAAAGGGACAAAGAACAGCAACTGGCTAGTCTGAGGCTTGGCAACAGTAAGACCGCACTCTTTCCAAGCTCCTAAATCAGCACCGTAGCTCAGACAAACACTCCTTCTGCCTAAAAGAAGTTCAGAAGTCGGCTGATGATCTCTTCCTGGCAGGGGTCGCGGGAGTACTTCGCAATCGAATGGATGGAGGCACCGTCGAGGCTCCGCAGAGGAACTGCTGCATCCTGAGCCAGCAGCTGAGGAAACTTCGATTCCGTCGCAGTTGCACCAGGACGTTCTTCGTGTTATCGAACTCTGTAAGTCAAAGGCTGATTCCAAAATGTCAAACGTCCCAGGATCCGTTCAGACAGACCAGCGAGGAAGTGTCTGACGGCAGCATGCTCAGCGCTTGTTAGCTAGTCGACGCACCCTAGTGTATGTTTTGGAAAGGCGACGTGGACCTCACCCACTTGCTGCAACTCTTTGTTCAGGACCTTGTGCTTTGGCATTGGAGGCTCTCGGTTTGGGGAACAGCCGCGCATCCTCAGGATGAGCGATTGGGAACGACAGATGCCTGGTACTGCAGCCGCTGTAAAGAGCCCGGGCCCGGGAAAGTTCCAGCTTGTGAGCTTGGACTTTTGTGGACTCTGCATACGTCCAGTGTGCTGAAAGGCATCGGGAAGCCTACAAGCAGCTGCAGTGCTCACCCTGGACTCTTGGTAAGCTTGCTTTGAGAGTGACAGAAAGGAGCGTGATGAAACGGCACATGCGTGAGGTTCCACCACTGCCCTCCGGTGCTGGTGATCCAGTTGAAGCGTTTTCAGTACAATCGATGGCCGGAACCTGAGGTCAGAGCGTAATCGAAGCAAAATCGCTGTCGTCGTCGATCTCCCAGGTCCCGGGAGCGACTGAACACATCGGTCAGCTTCCCCCTGGAGGGCCTCGATTTAAGACCCTTCTGCACAGCGCTCTTCTCAGTCCTCCAATCTCCGAAGTCTGCGTAAGCCTTGTGAAGCTCCTGATAAGTGTCTTGGCCTAGTGCATGGCCCGGAGTCGGAGGCCTCTTCCAAAGAGTCTTTTGAATCGCCACCTGCTCGGGGCTTGGCATCGCCAGCGCAAACCGACGTTCCTGCAGGGGCTACTGTAGAGTGCATCGGCACATGCCATTCTGAACACGAAGATGAGCGAATGACAAGTGCTTTGCCCAGATATATGACCTGGCTGCTCTGTCGAAGCACATCGGTTCTCTCGGTGGAGGTCGCCTGAGCAGATCTCATGAAAGGATGAAGCGATGTGCCATCCTGGGAGGTCACTACGTGGCCTTCTGCCGGTCATCAGAGGATGGCTCGCCTATCTGGCATGCTTCTGAAGTGTCAGCTCCCCAACCCTCAAAACACAAGCCACACCTATGCACCACGCCAGGTGGTACCACTTTGATGACGGCAGCGTGCGAAAATGCTCGGAGCAAGAAGTCTCAGCAGACAAGGTGCGAATCACGGCATGAATATGGGGTGCAGAGGCCTTGTTGGGATGTGGCCCTGTAAGCGGATTTCCACAGGTGGGCGCTTATGTCCTGTTCTACATTCGCAGAGACCTCCGGCCGGCCTCCTTCGGGCCAGCCTGAGTGTGCGATCATCTTCCGGTCTCACCCCGGATGTGTAGCATTGTGTAGACTCAATGGCGTTGAGCTGTGAAGCTTACGCCCCCGTTGCTTAGATCCAGCAGGTCGATTTCACCAAGAATCGTGGGGCCTAGCATGGTTCCCTGACTTGTTCTGTCGAGCTAGCTGCTAGCTACAACACTCGTAGGAGCAAGCATGAACTTCGGCTACATTACGCTGATTTCTTCAGGTGCAACTTTGCGGTTTCTCCTGCTAGAGGTAGATAAACTTTGTCTTGGCACCAGCGGTGTGCAGCAAAATGAGCGCACTGCTATGTTGTTGCCGATAGGCCACAAAACAGGAACTAGATTGTGCACGTGCTGGTCAAGATTGGCTGGATCCACACTGCACCCGCAACCGCCTGCAGCACCTTCAAAGTGCTGCGCCTCAAGTGTCAAGCTTGGATCTGGAGGACTGCCGCAGATTTGGACCTTGACCCTGTCCGCATCGCCAGCCCGACACAGGCCGGCATGCTCGCCAGCATGCTGCGGCAGCGAGCCTGTGCCACGCGCCGAGTGCCAACAGCACCGCCTTTCGTTTTCGGTTCACGAGCTCCCAACGAAGGTGCCGATACGGACACTGCAGGTGCTTCGGTTTTCCCTTTCCGGAGATCCGTGGTGTCAGCAATGTCTCCCGTTTACAGGCAGCCCGGCCAAAGACTACCCTGATCATGGGGCCACCGGGTGGTGCAGTCCCCAGATCCTTCCGTTGTCCAGCTGTTTCAGTCTTTTGTCCTTTCGCTTGGACAATTTGTGTCAAAACTTCGTTTAAGACATGCCCTGGCAGAAGGCACTTCGTGGCCACGGCGTGTCAACAGAACGGATTTCCGGGCGACGGAACCCAGCCTCCTTCAAGAATACCTACACGCACGCCTTTCCGGCACAGGAAGTATCTCAGAACATCTCAGAAGAAGGTTCCCAAAATGTTCTCGATATTCTGTACAGGGGTTCGGATGGAGTCATCGCAGCAGAACCTGCTCTCGATTTCAACAACAGAGAATCGGCAAACCGCCGCAAAGGACTGAGATCGAGCCTGCGAACCGAAACGAGAATGATGTGATTATAGTTGATGAGTGCTCTCTCTTACGCTGTGCGCAAGCCTTGGTCACAAGTGCACAACAGGAACACGGGCATCTACTTTAGCTTCTTGAGGGGAGCCGCTCTCAAATTCCCGTCTGAAGAAGCTTAAGAAGGCAGGAGAGGGTCAGGGTAGCACCGTTTGCAGCTTTTGGATTGATGGTGGCACCGAGAATATTGCATGTGTTTACATGAGCTACTTGATGCAACGCCTTCTGTGATCGTGCAATGTGACTCTGATAATGCAGACGCGGAGCCTGCCGAGGCGGGAAAGGAACAATCAGCAAGAAGCTGATCAAGGACGTGTCGTTTTGGCTCGGGAGCCTACATGATCACTGGTCGTGACGTGTAAACTAAGCTGCACAGCCCTCTGCTTTTGAAGGACTTCGATTTCCACCACATCTCTTCTGGCGATATGCTGCGGAGCCAGGCCTTGTGCGTTGCTCTTTGCAGACTCTACAGCACAGGAAGGAGGGAGAGACAGAGAGAGAGAGAGAGAGAGAGCCATTTTGGCTCAAGTGAGCGGTTCGAGCCCCAGCCTTGCATCCTTCGTTACAGAGAGAGAGTGTGCCCTTGCAAACAAAGTCGGGGGAGAAACCCGGTGCGTGAGAGAAAGCCTGCCGGAGCCTTGAGGGAGAGTTAGCGCTATATTCTTGCAGTACGCAGAGAACGTGGGACCCACTACGCGCGATCACCAACCTCGTTCGCCGGGGGGACATCGTCGAGTTCGGAGCTGTTCGGTGGCCACACGCTGCACTAGGGGGACATCCACAAACCTCGGCGTCTTCGGGGTCGGCGAACCTACGTGGGTGGTTAGAGTACCACGCCGAGCTGTCTTACTCCTTCCTCGCTGGGCGGGGGACACCTTCACCTAACTGACTGTGAAAATGGCAGGGACATCAAGAATGCCATCCTCGACGATGCAGGACGGGGAGATGCCGGGAGCCCGCAAGCGCCCAGCCCACGGGGGAGATGAAGAGCGACCCCTCACGCTGTCCACCCTATTGGACGCGCTGAAAGAAAATCGCGAAGAGATTGTCTCGCAAGTCCGTGAAGACATGCAGACGCTGGAGACCAGGGTCACCAACGTGGAGGGGACCGTGGAGATGCAAGTACAACAAACGACTAAACTCTTGGAAGCCATGACAGACCGCCACTGTGCCATGGAACGAAGCGTCAAGAAGGTGGGGGAAACACAGGAAGAAGTCATGAAGCGCCTTGAACTGTTGGAAGGCAAGTTCGCCAATGCCGACTTCTCCTTATCCAGCACTCGCACCTCCGAAGACGGGGGAAATCAAGGACAACGACCAGCCCTCATCATTGGGGGATGGGACGCCGACCAGCACCACGAGGAAACCTTGAGACTCGTGAAGAAGCACCTCCGCGACCTCGAGATTGACTTGGACCTATCGCAGGCATTCGTCCCGGGCCTCAGACGGGGATTTGCCATCGTCCCCCTCATCAAGCAGCCCAGCGAGGGGGAACCCGAGCTTCGAGTCCGGGCCCAAGGCATCTTGCGAGCCGTGCGCGAGGCCGGAGTTGTCACAGGGCAGCGCCGCGAAGGGGGAAGCCGATACCTCTTTGCGACAATGAGCCAATCCCCTGAGCAGGATGCTTTGAAGGTGAGCTCCCGCCTGAGATCCCCCCCTCCTCGTTTGCCCCTCCTGAAGAGCTGCCGCAGCCCCCGCCCCAGCTGCCTACCACCGGGGGATGCACCACTGAGTACCTCCAACTCACCCATGGCTGCTGGGAGGTTACAATTATCCAGCCGTCCGGTCCCACCACACACAGCAGTTCCTCTGGGGGACTCCCCCCCTTGCACCTCGTCACACAAGGTCAGACCGGACCGCTCGAGCGAGCCCCACCCTTCTCCGCCGGGATACGGGGACGCTTTGCGCCTATGGGCCCTGAGGACACTTGGCTACTCCTCATCACGGACGTGCCACCCCCCATTCCCTCTTGCTCACGGTGGGGACAAGTTTCGTGTGTACTTGACTCCCCCGGATTGGGCACTCACAGTGGAACACCTCCAGCCCTCCAGCGCTCGCGAGGCCCGCCGTGCGCAGACCACACACAGCAACAAGCCTGCCTCCCAGCCAGAAGCCACAGGCGAACAACAACAAGCTTCGGTACCCCCCGCCAAAGCCGAGCCTCGCAAGCACGTCACCTTCGCGGAGCCCCCAGACGACCGACCCCGTGCCCCCCCCACAAACCCCCCAACGCCGCCGGCCGCACAACGGCATCCATTGCTCGACACGCGTGAGCTCCGGCAGAGCCAACGCACCAAACCCCCCAAGGCGACCCCGCCCCGGCAACCACCGGTCGACACCGACGAGGGGCCCCCTCACACCTCACGCCCCGCGTCCGCTGCCTCCAGCCAACAGCCCCAGCCCGACCCATTTGCGCAAGTCCGAGACGGACGCAAGATTGGAGGCGACAAGCGCAAAAAGCCCACCACGACGACTTCCACAACCACCACAGCTGCCACACCCACCGCCCCCGCGACTACAATCACCACCACCACAACTGCAGCACCGTTTCCCCCCCGGACCGCAACTACTGCCGCCACCCTCACCAGCACTACGTCGCAAGCAGACACTGAAGTTACACACCTCATGCAGATGCAGCCTGGCCCCCCACCACCACCCTCCAGCACGCCCCGGCGGCGACACCCAGTGGCCCCAACCATCCCTGATGGCAACGAGCCCCAGCCCCAACCCCCACCACGAGTCAGCAGCGCGAACCGCGTAGAGCAACACCTCTTGCGCATTTGCGAGATGGCCCACAGCGACTTCCGGGGGATCCGCAATCGCCGCGCTGGCCCAGTGTGCCCTCCAAGACCTCCTGGTTGATAGCCAGGCAGAGGCACAGTTGCTCCGAGACCTTGAGCTGGAACACCCCCACGACACCGGAAGTACCAACACCACGCAAGTCTTGGGGGAACCTGCGCACAAAAAAGCCCGCCACGGAGACACCGCAGCCCACCCTGCCGACCCCCTCCAACCACTCCTTCAACACGCAATCGGCAAAGCACAGCAGCGGTTGGCCTCGGCGGATGGACATACCTATATCTCCTACTACGACATTCAACATGACGTTGATGGCATCCTGAGAGGGCTTAGCACTGTAGCCACACAGATGGCGGGGGAAAGTTCCTCCAGTACCTCGTCGGCGCCACCAATGACGCATGCTGCAGTCTTTGTCACGCTGATCCAGGACTTGCGTGACTCCCTCCAACATATGCAGGGGAACCAGCAGTGTGATGAACACTGGGCGCGCTTCGCGGACTGCCTCCTCCTTCTCCAGTCCTTGCTGACTAGGGGGGATGCGAACCCAAAGGAGACCGCTCGACGTGCAACGGGGGAGTTCCTCAACCGTGTGGCCCGGGAAAGACAGTCGCTCCAACTGCGACAACTTCTGGAGCACCTGGATCTCCTCAAAAGACGAGCGGGGGAATGGCCCCGCGGTGATGTCCAGACAGTGCATGCGGCGCTTCTGCAAGCGCTTGAAGACCTGGAAGAAGTGCTGCACCCTCCTCTACCTGCTCTTCCTGCTCCCCGCCGAGTACCTGATTCTCTATTTCCTCGCGGTGCAGACGCCTCACAAGGGCAGGGGGACCCTCCGAACAAGATTGGGGGAACGGCCGCCTGGTGGCTGCATGACAGGCACCATGGGCTTGGCAATGCTCCGGGGAGTGAGGAGCGTAGCCCGACAGAGGGAGTGGACAGTGAAACCGCTAAAAGCCACCGACGTCGCCGCCTTCAAGCCGCCCTCAGTGATGACTGAGACAGCAACTGAGGCCTCCGGGGGGAAGCAGGGTAGCCTCCTGAACGGGGGACGCACCATGCCTCGATTTACTGTGGCGGACTCTGGTTTACACATGTTAGCTCACTAGGGCTCCCATGCAGAGCTGTTCCCTTGTTTCTTACAAAGCCACTACAACATCTTGGCAGCTCAGTGCGGTAGAAGTAGCGCAGCCTCCTGAGCGAGGGAAAACTGCCTCAAGTTGATGTGGCGGACACTTGTTTACACATGTTAGCTCACTAGGGCTCCAAGGAAGTGCTGTGCAGTTGTTTCTCAGAAAAGCCACAACCACATCTTGGAAGCTCTGTGCGGCAGCTGTGGCTGTAGCTGTAGTGCTCCCTGCTGAGACATCCACTCTTGCCTCGGGCGAAAGTAGTGCAGCCTCCATCTGGGGGGAGAACGAAGCCTTGATTTGCTGTGGCAAACTTTGGTTTACACATGTTAGCTCGCTAGGGCTCCAGTGCAGTGCTGTGCCATTCTTTCTTACAGTGCCACTGCAACCGCAGCATCTTGGCAGCTTAGTGCGATAGGAAAAGCGCAGCCTCCTGACCGGGGGAAGAATGCCTCGAGTTGATGTGGCGAACTCTCGTTCACGCATGTTAGCTCACTAGGGCTCCATACAAGTGCTGTGCCATTGTTTCTCAAAAAGACCACAACAACGTCTTGGCAGCTTTGCGCGGCGCTGTAGCTGTGGCCTACCTTGCTTTAGGGCTCCCATTGCAGCTTGGGTTTTCTCTAGAAGGGACTGCTTTTGGGTATCTTTCTTCGAGCCACCGCACACGGCATGCTGACGCTCCTTGTAGCCTGATCTGGACCGATGCACCCCTCTATACTTTCAGTAAGCTAGTGTGTCGTGAACTTGATGTTGTGGTAATCTAAGCTCGTCGCTGTTTTCGCAACCTTCCGCAGTGCACTGAGTTCCAGCCCCTGGCCTGAATGAATTGTAAACTGGGGAAGTGGCATGACTTGTAATGGACCAGTGTTTTTGTCGGGGGAAACGCTCCTCCTCGAATCGTATTTCTTCTTTGACAGGGGAACATCATTGCAATGCCTGTCTGAGACTGGGTCCTTACATTCTTTGAGCATAGATGTTCCTGTGCATGTGTCCAAGTGGAATGTACGATCGTCAACGTCCTTCATCATATACTTTACGGCCTTAGCCTTTTGACGATTTACGTTCTTTTCTCACACCCCTGCGCCCAATAAAACATTCGGTGGGCCTGGCGCCCGGGGGCATTGACCTGCCCCTATGCCCCGGAGAGAGAGAGAGAGAGATGCAGCAAGGCCTCTTGAGCTCGCACGCCCGACATGAGGAAGATTTCTACTGCCCCAGTGTTGATCTGCTATCATGGATCCAGTCTCAACAGTCGGGCCTGGAGGTATGAGTTTTTGGACATTTTAGATGATGATCCTCATGCACACTTGTTGATTCATTTTTGATGAGCTTGAACCCCACAGAATATCGTTGAAACACGGGGCTGTCGCATAAGCCCAGATGACTGGGCTTCATTGACGACTAATGGATCGAACTTGTACTCGCGAAGATAGCAGTTGCAAGCTTTTTCTACCAGCCAGAGGTCCGCCAGGGCACGGCATGCGGCCTCAAGGCTCCAAGCGGAGTTGAGCGTCTCCTTGTTCGCAACATACCGCTGTGAGCACGAGCCAAGGCCAAGCAGTACATGGATTCCGGGGCACTCGTGCCTGACGATGTCATTGTGGACATGATCATGAACTGCGTCGCGTGGCATTGATGTGAAGGGTTAGTAAGGGAATTTCAGAACGACTGAACCGCTCTACTATCAGCTGTGACGTGCCGAAAGCCAGACCTGTGGTGCGATCCAACACCTCCTTGAGAGCACAGCATTGACAAGGTTGACGAAATCCAAACTGCGAGAGTGCTTCTCGATGGATTTCCTCGGACGCGAGTCCAGGCTTTGGCTTTGCAGCAGTGCCCCTTTTGCCTTGCAAACCCCTCCACGTGGTGCAAAGGCAGAGGCTCTCGAGAAGCGCAAGAAGGTGGTTGGCCTCCCAGTTTCCTCGCCGGTATTTGAAGACAAGACGTCGGTATTTCCTCAGGACCTTGTTCTCAACCTTGCAGTGCCAACAGAAGAGATAGCCATGACCTTATTCCGGAAGGCTCTGCTGAAGCTTCAATTGACACAAGCCAACTGCTGCCGAGGTCAAGCGCATCACTAGCCGTTGGCATGGGCCTTACGGCTTGATGGCGAGCAGGTTTGGTTGCCTCCGAAAGAGGTCGTCTTCTAGTAGTGCAGCTTGTGAAAAGCAGTGCATCCAGCTTTGGACTCCCCAGCTTTGGACTGCCCGGGTCAGTCATAGTACTCACTGCAGTTGCCTCCCCTTGCAGTTTGATTTTGGCTTTTTCGGGTGAAGTCTTGACCTGGCAAGGATCCATCCTGCCTCTGGACGCACATATGCCTACGACTACAATCCCCCGAAGGCCCACGGGGCCCGGACTCGCTACATCTGGCACGAAGGCAAACAGGCAACAAACGGCACCATGTATTTCTGGCCAATCCAGGTGCCAGGGAAGGATGATGTTACCGGTGAGCCGCTCGTCCAAAGAGACGATGACAAGCCGGAGGCCGTTCGAGCCAGATTACAGGACTTCCGCTTCGTCTCGTGCCGTAGTCGACATGATCTGTCCCGGCACGCAGTGACGCAGTGACGAGGATTATGATCGCGAAACCCGTCCGTTGCTGGAGTACTATGGGGTGCCAGCCTCAGCACGCGGGCATCCCCTCCAAGATGAAGGCGCCTCCAAGCCCCAGCTTGTTTTGCTTCATTCCGCTTCGCTCAGGGTTGCACTGAGTCTGTCGGGCCTGAGGAGAGGGTGTCCGAATTTGACGGATCAGACCAGCCAGAGCTCTTGGCACAGGCAGACCTTCAGCTGTCTTCTGCAACGGGGTGGGGCGCCAGTTCGGTTTTGAAGGACAAGCGATCAGATGCCATCTACCTGTGTCTCGGCATAGACTAGACTCTTCGCTGATGGCCTTCGAACTTTCACATGCCACCACCAAAGCGGCTTAGGTCCCTCAAGCCGTTTGTGGCCAAGCAGCTGTAGCTGTGAGCTTTTGACTCTTGCAGCCTGCTAGCGAATGCCCAAAAGACTGATTCTGCATGCATGTAGGATAGATTGGCATGCTCCGTCCTTGTGTCGTGCAGGCCAGGCATCGCATCAAACACTCTCTGCATCCCGTCAGCTGTGAGTTCAAGCCAAGCTGAGAATGGAGCCAGAGATGCCGCGCAGAAGCGGTCGCAAAGCCTGCTTAGTCGCACAAGTTTAAAGGCATACTGCAGTGCAGACGTTAGCGCACGTGCATGAGTAGGGTGTACTTGTGCCCCCCCCCCCACACACCCACATAAACAGGAGCTCATAGCTATGTGGGAGTGCATGACCAGTGAAACTCGAAAAGGCCAGACGTAAGCACGGCGGGCAGCGCTGGAAGACTGGTGTCAATGCGTTGCCTCAGGCCGACATCTTCTGTCCCACTGTAGTCGGCAAGCAAGTCAGGCTGCTGCCAAGGCAGGTGCTGTGGGCCTTCAACTATCTCGACTATCGATTAGGCGATTTTTGAAAAGCACGATGGAAAACAGCCGTCCTTGATCCAGTCCAGGAGGCAGAGCGCCTTTCCGACGTTGAAAGGTTTGCCACCCAGTGTGCCTGCTCCAAGCATCGTTGACCGGGCGCGGAGACTTGCCACAGGGGTATTCGGGCACTCCACAATTTGTGGGAAAGGGCTGTGCTCGCGTCTCTTTGGTGGGCTAGGACCTAGGAGCTTCATTGGTTTCTGTGGCTCTCCGTTCAGAGGAAGTCGTCTCCAGGTCAGCCTTGATCTTTCAGCTGCACGGCGTGGGCGTCCGCAGGGAAGCATCCTCAGCCGCTGTTTCCCGGGTGGATTCTTACCCATGTTTGGAGTCAGGACAAGACGAGCCTCCTGGAGAAGATGAGGGCCTCCGTAGGGGCCTCGTGGAGCCGGGCATTCCTGAGAGGCTTGGAGCCACCCTGCCTAGGCTCGGCAAAAACGAGCTGTGCCTGCCGGCGAGGCCGCGCAGAACCTCTTCGATTGTAGATTGTAGGTCCCAAGTGATCTGATGGCCGTTGATGGGCGTTTCTGAGGACACATCAGCATCCAGCTCTCCGGGTGAGAAGCGGGGCACCTAGCCAGAGTCGCTGTGAATCTCCTGAGCGTCTTGAAGCGGTACAGACCAAGCAGCTTGACGGACGGCCAGCACAGAGGAGGATTTGGAATGTTGGAGGTTGGGCTGATGCTCGAGTTTCCGGGAGGATGGCAAACGATGCTCATGATGCTGTCCCAGCGGGGCCATGCGGTGCAGCTGGACGTTCGACTGCGAAGTCCCTCTTCGCGGTGCTGCTTAGTATAGCTTGAGTTCTTTGGCCCCATGTCCATCTCCGAAAAGCGGATGTGCTCGATGCTACACCTCGAGCACTTTACCCAGAATACCTGAAGGGCTGCGGCCTTTACTGGAACTTCACCATGGTGAAATGGTCAAGGTTGAACCAAAATAATAGGTCTTCCAGGCATCGCCATTTCAGGTTTCCCGGCCGCTTGTTGCATCGATGTCCTAGCCCATGAGGCTTTCGGAGCTGTATCAGCGGGCATCACAAGACATTGCATCGTCTCAGGCTTAAGGCAATCCGTCTCGTTCAAGTGCTGCTGCTCGTGTTTCGGGGTTTCCTGACCGCTGCCTGAGGTTGGCATCCAGACTAGCTCAGCACAACGGGCGGGGATCTCAAGTGTGCTGCCTCTGGGGGGGGGGGGTTGCGTGAGTCTCTGCATGAGGCTTCGTCAGTTCAGCGCGACCTTTTCCAACAGAGCGCCCCCTCTGGAGCTGCGAATGCTCTTGCCGGAGTTGGAGGCATGTAGTGCTCAGATTGTATGAAGCTTCAACTACTTCCGTGCCTTGTATCCGGAGCCAACACCGTTGGATCACGCAGTCAATGTCTGCTTGAATCAGCATGAGTAGCAAGTATGGCTTAAGGTAATTCAGGCGGGTCCTAAATCCTTTGCAGAGCTGCAAGAAAGATCTGTCCAAGCCGTCTCGCCTACTCGGAACTGCCAGCGCCTCTGTGTGCAAGCTCATCATCTGAAGCTTGAGTTTGCACAGAAGGCCAGTAGAAGACGGGAGATGGCCGGGCACGGCTGCGAGCACATGTGTGGAAACAGGCCTCCATCGAACAGCAGCTGCACTCTCTGCAGAGCACTTCCAACGAGATCGCTCAACTGGAGGTTGCTTGGGAGCAAGCAAGCCCTCAGTAGTCCGATAGCATGTTCCCAAGCACGTGCCTTGACAGTTTCCCGATCAAAGCCGGATGGAAGAGCTCAAGAGCGCAGCAGCTGCCCCAGCAATTGGCTTGAAACTCATTGCAGTCTCATGGCTCCTTTCAGAGCAGGTTTGCTCATATCTTCGCTCTGGACTTGAAGATGCCAGCGTCACTTTTGAAGAGCAGCACGGGTCTCAGATGCCGAGGATGCAAGGAAGGTGCTTTCATTTGGGTCGTCCAGAGGCGATCACATCTGCGAGTACTTCAAGCTGCTGCTCCTCTTACGTCCCCGATGACGATGCCTGTGCCGCGATTTTGAAGCGTTCTTTGCCAATATGCTCTCTGTCTGTGTACGACGCCGCTGTTGTGCACGGAGATCTGTCTGGACCAGAGAAACAGGTACCAGCAATGAAGTTGTCCAGCTGCAGTTCTCCACAACCGAGTCAGACGGGCCATTTCGAGTCCTTCTCAACAGCAGCGCACTCACTCACTGCAGACCTTGCGTTTTTGTGCGGCTTGGATGATGCTCTGTCCCCAGTTCGCGTTTCGTGCGAGGCATCAACGCAGAGCTCGCCAAGCATGTCCGACCCTTGGTCGTGGTGCTTGAGGGTATTGCGGCCTCCGGAGGGATCGAAGATGCACAAGCGCACAGGCCTGAGGTGCAGCTCGACGGTTGGCCAGAAGAAGACGGCGAGGCCGCGTTCTGAGCAGCTCAGTCCAGCGTATTTTTTCTTGATTCATCGAGAAACGAGGTGGATCAGAGACCTGCGTCGATGCCTTTTGCAGCAGTGGGGCCCCTCAGGAGCTGTTGCAGAGAATCGGCTCCAGCACCTGTTGCCATGCTTCTTGGCTGGCCGCGGCTAGCTTAGGTCATGTCGAGCGCCTTTTAACGCACAGCTGCTGCCGTCTCTTGGAAGCCTGACGCTCAGGGAGATCATGAAGTGCGTATAATATCTCGGAGAGCTTTCGAACCCGAGGCCGGCCATGGGTTTTTCGACTGCCACGTGAATGGGTCACGGGAATTTTTGTCATGTCCAGTACGTGACCGACAGCTGTCGGTGGTCCTGCACGGCACCATGGCACCTTGTAGAGAAAGCACGGTTCTGCACGGGAGTCAGAGCCCAAAAAGGCTTGGACAGTCTAGGTTGCGAATTCAGTATCTTGTACATATGACATTTGCATCTCAGCTCTGATTTGAGGATCGTTCACAGATGTCCCTTGATCGCTGCTGAGTGCTTGGCAGAGAAAGGACCTCAGCCCTTTCCTGCCGCTGATGCCTGAGACACCATGCTCTCTTGCATACTCCTCTGGCGTACTGCCAAATTCGTTTGCGCGTCGCAGCTGAAATACCAGCTGGAGAATGGTGCTGCCTGAAGGCTTGCACCACGTGAAGCAGAAGTCCGAAAAAGAACAAAAACGAGGGAGAATCTGGCTGTCCGCCTTCGTAGTCGTTGCCAAGGGTACAAACCCTCTTCGGCAGATGTTATTTTCCATAAGGCGTTGCACCAGATCTGACTAAAGACAAGCCTGCGGCATGTCTACGGCAGCCCGGTGCGTTGCCTAATCGAGCTGTTGTCAGTGCAAGGGTGAGTCGGTCTGAGAGAGCGCTAGAAAGGTTGCTCAAGCAGAAAAAACGACTGCAGCTCACAGTCTCATGGTGGGCATGTGGCTTTCCATCCAAATTAAGCAATACGTCAGCCTCGGAATTGTACAGCTGCTGGGCAATTGACAAGGGCAATTGGCCAGACCATCTGCAGGCTTGCTTCGCATGGATGTCCAAAAAGCCATGCAAGACTGCAAATCATCCAGCACTGGGAGGTGAGCACATCCAATCTCAGCAGGTTTTACCAATTATCAAGTGACTTGCATTCTGAATCGGCCCAGCTCCGCTAGTGCTAGTCGGCTTGGTATTGCAGTCTTTCTCAGCATTCACAGCCAGGCCATACCGTACGCAGGCTAATGAGGCACATGCATGAATTCCTGAGCTCTTTTCAATAGAAATCAGGGGCTTGCTACAGTCGTTTGTGCAAGCCGAGCTCAAACATGGTGCTGGTGGAAGAGATTGTTCTCTTCCAAGCTTTTCGCAGAGCGCATCTTTGAGAATTCTAGCCTATGCAGCCTACTTGCAGGTGGATGAGCCGCAGGTCCAAAGCGTTTTCAGAGCTGTCATGCATCGTCATTTGCCGGCTTCTGTTTGGACAGGCAGCCTCGGGCTATCCGAGCTCAGCTACCTCGTCCACGTTGAACCGAGGCTTTCTCGAGAAGGCTCCAAGCTCGAAGCTCCTGCAAGGTTTAATTAATACTCTTTTTGGAGAGCACCGGTGTCCGCCGCCCACCTGCAGAGGCGAAGGACAAGCCGTTGTACGGTCCAGAGGGCTCGGCAGAAGGGAAGGTCGACCCCAACACACACAAGGTGCAGACCATGCCAGTGAGCCGACATACACAGCATGCCTCGGAGTGCCGCTGTGATCCCAGCGTGGCAGGCGCACACCGAGCACAAGCTCAACCAGGCAGCTCGTTCTCCTAGCCCTCTTGCTAGATAGACTTTGACGCAGCTTTGGCAGCTCAGGACCTCAATGCCGGGATGAACCGCGGTGCCGCCGAGAACAACGGCATAGAGAGACCTCCCTGGTACACGAAGGAGTGGCCGAAGGACCGGACGATTGCCATTCGTGCTGCTCCACATGCGATGATGTTTCGGGAAAACGTCACATGAGGTCTGAAGGTTCCGAGGCTCGACGGATGCGAGTTGGGAGGGAAAAGGGCCTTGCATCCGGGATCGGATTGATTGGACCAGTGATGTAGCCTCTACAGCAGTAGAGCCCAGTGTCGCTGCCTGAACTTGTGCCACAGTTCGTGAGTCTTTAGCGCAGGACTGCCAGTACAACTCGCCTGGATGCACGCTGGACGACATGGAAACTTCCGCTCACAAGTCGGACAGCACGTGGCAGCCGCGCTCGTTTCTCCTGGTTGCTTCCCATTTTTGGAGCAGGACATCCACAAGGACATGGTGAGGGCCTCTGCGCGTTGGCATGACGCACTCGCCCCAGGCCGACGCATCCGAAGCTAAGCTTGACTCCACACGTTGTTGTTCTCCTTGTTTTTTGCATGCAGTTCGGATGGCTAGTGCACAACTGTGGAGTGCTGTGCACATAGCTGAGCTTGACAACGCATTCAGATCGCTGCGGCCCTAAAATTGAAATCTCGGCGATCTGCTGCGATCCACCCTCTCCTCACTGCGCAAAAACTTCCTGCACAGGGCCTCTCCCTCATGCCGGGTTGCTGGGGTTTTGAAGTCTGGGCGTTCCCTCCCCGACTTGCTGGAGTCAGTCACACTCTCGACCATCGAGCCCAAAACCAAACTCTGAGTGCCACGTGCTGAATGAAAACCAACGAGAACCAGCAACCAAGCCAGGTCACTTGTAGGCTCTCGCTGTTGGCGCAAAGTGTGCAGGGGCTCGTTTCCTGTATTTCAAGTTTTGTCGGGCATTCTTCGTGCGTGTGGGCAGCTTTGTCTCTCAAGGCAGGATCGTGAAGGATCTGGTCCGCCGCGCAGACAAGCCGTAGAGAGATGGCCGATTACCACGCCGACTACCAGACAACCCCCAAGGCAGAGTTCCAGAGACAGCTTGAAGAAACGGATGCCAAAGTCAGAGATGTTCAGAAAAAGATCAAAGAGTTGCAGCAGCAGCTCAACTCCTCGACAGATTCGACGACCGACGAAGCAGCAATCAGGAGCCAGTTTGAGTTCCTTGAAGGTTTTGTTCAGAGTTACAAGACCCTGAAACGCATGATGAAGCTCAAGGATACTGCAATCGATGAGTTGTATGATGACTTGCAGGTCACCCCGGAGACCAACCGAGAGGACGAAGAACGCAAGTTGAAGCAGCTAGACCAGGCTTATGCGAAGATGATTTGTCTCCTGTCCTTGTATGAGGATAAGAGCAAAGAGCTGTTGGGCATCCCGACCGGATGGTTTTCATCTGCAGTCTTCACACTGCAAGAGGTCGTGCAACGCAACATCAAAAAAATGGCCGGCATCGTTGTCACTTGCTCCACCGTCGGTTGTGGCTTCTTCTGGGTCTTTCATTCTTTAGGCTGCCTCAAGTGTGCTTCAGCGTGGACGGTAGCACATCACGCCATGGCTGGTGCTGCCTTGGGCTTGGTCGGCAGTGTGGTGGGGCTCCTTCTTGTCGGGGGCTGTTACATGACCTACACCCATTATACAAAGAAGTCTCACCTCGAAGAGGCCAAATCAGCCATACAGAAAATCGAGGAGATGGTGGAGATCGTGAAGAACATTCCGGACGATGATTTCTGCGACCAGCTCGACGAACTCATCCTGGCAGCGTCGTGTGTAACAGACGTTCTTCCCGGGGAGGAGGATCGCATGTGCACAATATGCCATTCAAGAGGTAGCGACGTCATTCGCCCAGTTAAAGCCCACGGGTGCATGGGCGCACATTACAACTGTGAGGCCTGTTGAAACGAATATGTTCGCCGAGGGCAGCGTCCAGTCTGCACAGTGTGCAGAGTTTAAACGCTAAGCTATGGCAGGGCAATGCAGGGCATGCCACGGCGAAAGCAGCCTTTGTCACGAGAAGCCGCAGTGCAATTTAGCAGTAAAGCCTGCTACGCGCTTTATGCAGGCGCGGTCAAGTCGGTTCTCAAGGACCAAAACATTGCTGTGTTTTTTTCCTCCTCCGTGCTTGCGAAACCACGCGACCCTCGTCACCAGGTCTACGGATTACAACAACCCTGTAGCGAATCGTCCCTGTAGGGATGGGGTCGATTTAGGCATCATTATTGGGGCTGCATTGCCGAAAAACCCTCGGTCCGAGACCTCTGCTTCCATTTCATCACGTTTGCTTTGCTTGCCAACGAACTTGGAAGTCCATGTAACATACTTTTGGGGTTTTGCTCGTGGGAGCCACTCATGCTCAGCATGGTAGAGGCAAGCCGGAGACCAGCTCCCAGGATGACTTTAAAATGTAGCATCTTGGGGCTGGCGCCAGGGTGATTGCGTTTGGCGACTTGGGGGCTGGCCCTGAGACGATTGAGGATGGGGCTGGCCAAAGACAAAGGCGGGCGCGGGATTCAAGACGCCCCTCTTTTCCCTGTGAGTGTCTATGCAGTCCTGATTTTCTTGTGTTTCCCACCTTACTGGGGGTCCTTACAGACTCCACACAGGTTCTGCTCCGAAAAAGCCGTCCTGTTGCTTGTCTATTAAAATCCTACGAAATTGCCTTTTGCTCGGCTCCTAAACACGGCCGAATATTTAAGACGCCCATGGGCGGTTGGCACATTTCTCCAACAGAATGACTCGGCACTTAAGCCTTACCCAACACACCTATGCCGGGCGCAGGGCCTGCTGTACAGATTTCAGCCTAACCAACTGATCTTATGGTAAACACCCGATTCCGGGAAAACATCGCCCTTAAACACAAGAAACCTCTGTGTTTTTGATTAAAGCCAAGGTACGTCTTAAATCCTGCGCCCGGCAAGACAAACAGAAGGTCAGTCCGAACATCGCGAACCGGCGCTCAAACTGCCGTTCCACGTGTGTCCTAACTTTCAAGGAGAGCGAGGAAAATGTGAGTTTTGGCCCTACACCGTGCTCCCCAGCCAAAGTGGAGTTTGTTTTTGGTGACCAGCAGCCAGAACAATCTTTCTTCGGAGTCATCATTTCCAGACGAAACCACTGACCAAGATGGTAAGAAGGATGACGATGATGGTGGTGATCTTCTTGGTGATGCTGAATATGGTGTTGGCGACGAGGATGATGTTCCGGCTGATGATGATGATGGTTATGGTGATGATGATGGTTGTCACGGTGATGATGGTCATGGTGACGTGGTAATGATGATGCTGGTGTTGCTGATTATGATGAGTATGATGAATATGAGAGCTTGACGACGATGATGGCAAAGATGAGGAATGCAACATAATTTGAAGGCAGCAAACGACCACCTGCGGCAGGTATCCAGTCCATGAGATTCAGCTTTCTCCAGGTGCCATGTGTTCAACGTTGTTTGTCCGGCTAGGGTTCTGCAGTACCTGGAGGCAACTGATGAGGATCTCGCTGAAGTCATCGAGAAGCTGAAAGGCAACGAGGACATGCAGCGACACGATAATTTTGTGCAACCGCGGCAGCAGTGAAGACAGCAATCACCCGTGCAGGATGTGACGGAACTCGACTTGTCACATAACCACATCAAAGATGCAGGCATACAGGCAACGCGTCGACAAGTCAATGCGGCACAGTCAACCATAATTCTATTCTCCAAAACTGCAGGCTTTGGTTGCAGCTTTGTCGAGTGGAGCAGCTCCGAAGCTCCGAGAGCTCAAAGTGTACAGGCCACTAGCTGCGATGTGGTCATGTTGATTCATTTTGCCCATGCAGAAGAATCCAAGCCAGCAGACTCAACCCATGCGTCACCGCACCGCTCACGGTCTATACTCCTACCTTCCGGCGAAATTTGATGGCATGGTGATGGATTCCCGAGAAAATCGGGCATGGCTTTGCTAGCCGCACGAGCCGTTGAGGGGTTGCAGTGCGGCAGTACTTAAACAACGCCTGGAGAGCAGAGCGTTTGATGACACAAGGGAGGCTCGACGAGGGCAAACAGAAGAGCAGAGCCGCGGGGCTGAGTAAGGACACGACATAGCTACTCGGAAGCATGCAAATTGCGCAGCTGCCCCGCAGTAACGAGTTCGGGAAGCTGGGCGAGACGATGCTCACGCAGGGCCTGCCCATTTTCAGAAAGAATTTGCAGGCAAGGAGCTACCTGAATGGTACACTTGGAAGTGTGAATGGTAGACTTGGGAAGCTGTAGTTTTCCGGCAAGGTGCAATGGAAAGAGCCCAGCTGGGCGAAAATCGTCCGCGAGGAAGTCTCCCAAGCCAAGGACTGGACGTCGCATCTGTCCGACTTTGAGTCCGTCAAGACTGTGCGACCTCCAGCTCGCTTCTGGCAGGCCGGCACCGCTGCTGCACCGCCAGCTGCCTGAGGCCTTGCCTGGTAGCTCAGCATGACAACACTTGGCCTGCGGGCCACGTCTATCATGCAGGTGGAAACTGCTGCGAATTGCTGCCAAGTTTGCATGAAGAGACCCGCCACGGCGCAGAATCAAGATGCCCGCATGTGCAGGACTGTGCAAAAGCAGCAGAGTTGCCAGCAAGTTTCAGAGATCGGGTCACAAAGCGGACTGTAGCAGCGCGAGGCCGACTTTCTTCAACCCCTCCCCCAGTCTCCGTGAGGTAAGGCATTTGGGCTCAAGTCGGCAGCTCCATCTCGGACCCCTCCGGCGCAATGTCCTCAATGCGCCAGCAGGCTCGCTATCTTTGCATCAGGCACATCGAAAAAAAGATCCAAGCAGTTGTTCCCGAAGGTTCTTGAGCAGCTGGGCCTTACGATGAAGGCAAGATCTGCCAAGCGGGCGGCGCGGCTCTGCGTGCCCAAGTCTCTGTCGTAGAGGATGACCCGACCTTTGAGAGCATCTGGGATGCCATCTTGAAGGGCCAAGATGTCTCAGCCGGACTCTTGAGCTGAACATCTCGCGACGCTTCGGGCCAAACACGTTTCCTGGCCAAGGTCCGCTGTCCGGAAGCTTGGTGGTCCGAAGCAGCCGTACTGCCTTGCCCTCGGCACATGGGCACCAGAGCCGAGAGCTGCTTCCGAAGCCTGAAGCTCCTGAGTACACGTAGCCGCGGAGCTTTGAGATCGCAGCCGTTGCAGAGCACATCGATAGTCCAAGCAACAGGCTCAAGCAAGTTTGTTTTCTGTCGGTCGAGCTGAAATTCTTCACAAGGCGTTGGTCTTGGTCTGGTAGCCTGGCACTGCTTGAGGCCTGCTCTGGTTCGATGGAAGGAACCAGGCAGCGTGCACAAGAACCTGGTGTTCGAGGACCCTTGGTAAGTCACCCTCTGATTCTGGCGGATGCAAAGACAACTGTTGTTTGAGCTTACGTCTGAAGGCAGCAGAGGCCAAGAGCGAGCACTGGAAGCAGGCCATCAGCTGGAGCCAGGCAGCACTTGCCCGAGATTTTCCTCGCGTTTGCCCCAAGCACCTTCGTTTGCGAGGCCATTGGGAGCTCGAGCACTTCGCTTCCAAGGCTTTTGGGGTGGTTGAGGGTTCGGGTTTTTCAATACGGGCGTTATGAAGTGTTCTGCGAGGGTCCTATCGGGGGTTACATACGATGGCTCTTCCGCCAGAACTTCAAATTGTCCAATTTTTTCCACAGCCTCAGGCTGTCAAGTGCCATGGATGATCCTGGCTTCGCAGGTGATGACGCACTTGCACAAAGTGCGGAGGCTTACGCGAGCGCTCTGCAGTTGGTGCTAGGTGACCACTCCGACAGCATCTTCCTCGTGATACTTCACTCCAAGGAGCCTGCGATAAAGCTTTCGATGAGCCTTTGCGACGAGCCTTGCAGCCCTGCTATTTTATTGCGCTTCTATAAGGACCAAGACGCCGGTCACGCCGACGCCTTGCGGGAGAGCTTACAAAGGCTTCCCCCGCCATCACAAGCAGCTCGGCAGCTCTTCGAGAGCCTCAAGCCGGTGCCTGAAGAGAAACGGCTCTCCGGTTCGGCCGCTGGCAGGTAGTGTGGGTGGTGGATGAATGGAATGATGGTTTGAGGCATGACATGTCGTTGACATGCGATGTTTACCGGAAGAGGCTCTTTATACGCAGATTGTGACTGCTGCCAGGCAGCTTGCCAGCGAAGTGCTGGATGATCCAGTCCACTTTGACATCGAGCCTGGCATGATTCAGAGGCATCAAACTCCATCTTGAGGCAAGCTGTCAGCGCGAAGTTCGCTGGATCAGGCCAGAAGCTCCTGTGGAGCAAAACAACAAGGAGGCCACGGCATTGGAGCAAAGCAACAAGGAGGCCACAGCGCAGGAAAGGAGCTGCATTTGGCAGTGGACGCCGCTTCCAGTGGCAGGAAGCTGATGCAGCTGCCCTTGCTTCCTACATGGTGCAGCTCCCGGAAGACTTCCTGTGACGCCCAGCCGGCAAAAATGCCTCACCTGCCAGGCCAACATCATCTGCCGCTCGCAGGACAGGGAGCTCCGTGCGGCGGTGCGCGCGATGTTGCCCAAGGTGTGGGGCTTAGCAACTGCGTGCTCACTTGTGCCACAGGCGTCTGTGCACTTGCATGCAGCAGGGGTATGTTCTCCGCGCAAGCAGTCAGCATGAGCAAACCCTGGCTCGCATGCACCTTGCTCTGCTTTGTACCAGATTGTCCAAACGCGTGAAGTATCAAGGTGTCTTTGCGCAAGCGCAAGGCCATCTTCCAGAGCATAGCCGATGATTTTGGAGAAATGTTGAAACGACATATACCTGGTGCGAGATACATGCTAGGCAGGAAGCCAAGATCGTCAAGGCACTGGAACTGGAGGCTCGTCTGATAATATTGCTTCATCGGCTTGCACCGCTGGAACCTACGACACAATTCAAGGCAAACCGATAAGATGTTGAGGACAGGATGTGATTCATGTGGGGCGTAGCGGATCAACGACCTTCTATCGCTTGGAGCCGAAGGCGAACATGGTTTTGATGAGCATGAGGACGCAGCGTGGCCGTGTCTCTCTCTCTCTCTATACATATAAATATAGATATACATATAGATTGTAGCATTCGCAGAAGCTCACACTGCAGGATGCAGAATTGCGGGCTGGGATTGCGGCATTGCTTGTTCGCCACCACGAGCTTGTTCGCCAGAAGCCGCGAGGCCAGAAGCGTCGAGTTCACAGCTAGACGTACAATACCTGCATGTGAGTGCGCAGTTCAGGCAATAGCAGTCGATCTACGGTTGCGGCCTAAGCTGGCGACTTGTATAGGTAGAAGCAGCAATCTCATTCTAACCAATCCCAGGCCAAGACAGAAAGCCTGCCGGTTGAGCTGCGATGCAATCCCGGCAGCGACTCTGAATGTACAGATGATTCGGAGGCCTGGTAGTAAGTAGATTCGGTGGTTGTCAGAATACAATGATTGCATTGATTCCGCGAATTCGAAGGTGCGAGGTAATCCGCACGTGGAGCCTAGTTTCGGAGTGTTATGAGGCTCCTGGTGCCACACATCGTCCGCGAAGGGTGGTGATGTGCGCCGATGGCATGTCGATTACGTACTTGGGCTGGTGCTTGTCGTTTTCAAAATACCGGCAAGGAATGCGATTTCGCGGGGACAGGAGTCAGTTGATGGAAGACCTTTTCGCGACTAGCCGCACTTCATGCTGTGATCTCTCTGCTCAGCAGGAACAAGTGGCAGTTCTTAGGAAAACTGTCAAGTTCAGATGGCGCCCTGGCTTCTGAGCGCTTTGCTTCTGGTCAGTGAGCAACTCCTCGCTGCCTCCATCCGAGCAGAGCTTCACGTCCACTTAGATGGTTCCATGAACTTTGAGACGCTACTGGCGATCTGCAAGAACAGAGGGGTCGAGCTACCTGGTATCGGTATTCCAAAGAGCACCCAGGACATACAGGCATTCATGGGGACTTTCAGTGGCTGGCACCGGTTTGATGCTGTGAACAACATCATCGGTGGCAGCGTCTCTTCCATCCAGGCGGCTGCAGAGGCTTTCGTGAAGTTTCAAGCGGAGTCTGGTGTTTTCTACACTGAGGTTCGCTATGACCCTGTGCGTCTTGCTAGGAGCGATCTTGACAACTCTTCCATAACAGAGGAGCAGGCAGTCAAAGCTGTGCAGGACGGCTTAGCTGCTGGCTCAGTCAGACATGGGGTAGTCGTGTATCAACTTCTTTGTGCGATGAGAGGGGCAAGCTCGCATCGATGCTTTCAAACTGCAGAGCTTGCAGCCAAACTCGCAGACAAGGCGATGGGAGGTGTTGTTGGATTAGACCTGGCAGGCGACGAGACCGATTTCCCTAATCGGGCCTACATAGATTGCTTCAAGCATGCGAAAGCCCTAGGACTCAATACGACCGTGCATGCTGGTGAGTTCAACAAGACCATGGGTGATGACGTGCGCACAGCTATCTTTGAAATGGGTGCCGACCGCATCGGTCATGGTTATGCAGCAGCATTTGACGAACAGATTCTTCAGGCATTGAAGTTGCGCAAGGTGCATGTCGAAGCTTGTCCCAAAAGCGCGCTGCTGCATGGGGCCTGGGCACTAAATGCCATCCGCAGCTTCCGACAGCATGGCCTGAACTTCGGCTTGAACACCGATGATCCAGCAAGCTCGTTTTCGAATACCAGTGCTGCACAAGATGAAAGCATTGTAACAGGAAAGCTTGATTTCTCGCCCGAAGATGTGCGTTCAGCTTACATCAATGCCTACGACGCTCGATTTGGTGATCTGAGGGAGTCAGTCTTTGTGTATGCATAATCAAAAAGATGAAATAATCCTCCACGTGCTTGCAGTAGTTTGCTTCCCTGTAGCTATCATGACGTGAATGGATGCCCTGGGTTGATCTGACTATTTTCTGACTTGCTGCTGCTCTTAAACGATGAGCCACGTAGCTGAAATTCATGCGTCAAGACAGCGGAACAAGTGTGTAATCTTTCCACAGGCCACAGCTAAACTGTCCATGCACCGCTGCCAGCAAGAATACCCTTCTTCAGGAGTCAACCAGACCACGCAACTGTAAGACCTAAGCACATGGCATTGGAGCCTGTTGAAACAGCCTTGCAAGCATCAGCACAATCAGCATCTTGAAGAGCAATGATGGACTATGGTGGTAGGCGCACTTTTGGCCATTGCGGGCGCGTCTACAGTCCCGGGCTGAGGATGATGTCGTTCTTTCTGGTCAGCTGTGCCTTGCAGGAACTGGGTCTAGAGTCTGGTGAGTTTACATGGCCATACATGGCCACTGCGTTCGGCATCAGGCAGCTGCAACAAGTGGCTTGCCGGAGCCTGGGTTCTTTGCAGCTGCGAGTAGTCCAACGCTGGATCTACGTGAGTTGGTCCGTGTCAGAGGCCTGATGCAGAGTGCTGGCAAGACGATGCTGGGCTGCTTCAGAAAGCCTGTGTGTTCTTTCCGTCGTTGCTTTGTTGACCCGATGCCCTGTCAGAGCTCAGGATTTCAACGAGGAATTTTGCTGTGGTGATCGCTGGGGGCTGACCGGAAATCCTGCATGCTGGAATGAGGACGGACTCTCTCGCAGTCCAGTTGCATCTCAAGACGTCGGTGTTGAGCCGGGATTGTACCCCTGGCTATGTACCCCTGGCTAAGATTCGACGAATCAATCTCGGAAGGAGTTTACCTACCTCCGTTGCTGTGGCATCGACAAGCTGCCACGAAGGCAAGACTTTCCTCAACTTCCTTCTCTGCTCCGGGACAGCGTCTGATTCTGTTCAGCGCGGCTTGGGCGAAGCTTCTTGTGCTTCGGTCCACGAGGCCGGACGATGACACCAAGTGGGAGGCATCGACGGCAGGAATTGAACTGGAGGAGAGGCTTGCTGAGATCTAGGATTGTGTCGGTGGAACAAGTTTTCGTCTTGCCGAAGACATGAGAAGGCGAGCTGCTAGTAATTATTACATTTGACCATCTCCGCTGCTCCGTACAGATTTTCGTTTTCACGCAGCAGGATGGTGGCGAATACGACTTCATAGTGGTTGGCGCTGGCTCCGCTGGTAGTCGCACACCCTGATTTTAATCGCAACTGTAGTGAGCTATTCTGGTTCCAGAATTGCCCAGGTGCCGTTGCATCTCGGTTGGCTGCCGCAGACACCGTCGATGGACAGCCATGGCGTGTTCTCATCCTCGAGGTAAGACTGTGAAACAGTGTGGATTGTAGAAAGTACATGCCTTTGAATAGTCGGACAAAAGATGTGCTCACGGTTCAGACCAATGCCTAATTTGCCAGGCCGGTTCCTGGAGTGTTTCGGAGGCGCACTTGTGTTCGCAATTAGCGGGTCTTGCTCAAATGTGAATGCTCGCTGCGAGGAGGTAGCGGATCCCGATCGCAGTGCGCAAAAGAAGGAAGCGTGGTGGCCGGCATTGGAGGTGAACTGGAGCGTTGGAAGGGAGGGAAGGCCAGTCCAACAACCCGTCAGCTCAAGCTACTCAAGCGGCCAAAGGATGAGCAAAAACATATCTACCTGCAGGACGTGGACATATGCGACCGGTCGAGGTGTTGGGGGAACTGCCAGTGTCAACTCAATGATCTACACGCACGGGGTCCCAGCAGTGCATCGGGCCAGTACGAGGAATGCTAGCTTCCATCATAAACTGCACGAGGCGAGGATCCATCTTCGAGTACGAGGCCCGAGGCCCTTCAAGTCTTCTCAGGAAGCCATGGGAAGCCGGAGCGATGCACGAACTTCGAGACTCTGAAGCGCCATTGGGCTTTGCAGGCCTTTGGATGGTCCGTCGATGAAGTCCTGAGCGCCTTCAAGAACTTGGAGGCTCCGTAGTGCTTGCATAAGTTGGTGCCCTCGTCACTCTTGTGGTCTTCTGGTGCAGACAGCAGGCACCTATGGAAGCTCCCGGCTTCAAGCCAGACCCACATTACCATCGACCGCTGCCCACAGGCCCAGTGTAGTAGGACCATGCGAGGCATGGTTGGGGGTTGATGCCAAGGTGGACTCGAAGACCTGGGCTCCAATCTGCTACGCACTTGACTGATGTCTCCCTCCGTTCGTATCTCTATGCCTCTTTAGCTTTGACCATGCCCAGGCCGGGCAGTCACCTGACCTTGGTGTCTGCTTTTCCCGAGGACCCAGCATGTCAGCCCTTGGAGCTCATGAAAAACTCAGACCAAGGAACGAAGAGGGACAGAGCATAGCCAGAACATCATCCCAGGTAGCTGCAGTGTTCAGACTTGACGCGCAGGAACTTCCTCCTCTCTTCCGAAGTTTGATTGCTGCCTTCGAAGGCATTCGTGTGCCCTTCAGGCCGGGAGATCTGACCATGGCCCATAGCCGCGCTGACGCTCTGCGATTTTGACCCTCAGGGCGGATCCCCATGGCAATGCAACGAACCAGGGCATCGGTGGGATGTGGCGCTCCATGGGCAGCTCAGCATCAAATGAGCGAGGGCCGGTGCACTGGGAGCACGAACAAATGCCTTACGGTTGCTTGTTGTATGCCGTGGAGACATGGGAGCATGCAAGCACAGAGATGATGGTACCGTTTTGCATCAGCAACGCCTGTGAGAAAAAATTCGCTTCTTCACGATGCTGAGTGCGGCATCACAGGTTGTGGGCACCCGCGGTGTCAGCCGACTCGAATTTCCCGCGTGACGGCTGTCACTCGTTTGCAGACGCAGTTCACTAGGGCGTGAGCATGCCTGCACTTGATGGATTTGTCATCAGGCTCGCGGGAGACCTCGATCAACCACATACAAGGATCTGGCAGCCCCCTTTCATGGCTCGCCTGCGCACAGGCCTGTACTTCACTCCTTGGGTCCAGCCCTGTACGGCATCAAGATTGCTTGAAGATATGCAAGCAAGTACAACGGACGACTCGCCCCTTCCCAACAAAACCACAATGGATATCCTGCGAGCATAGGCTGAGCTAAGCAGGCTGCTGGTGTAAACGATCCACATGCAAGAAGATGACTCCAAAATATCGGCTTTCAAGCTGCTTAGCCGAGAGGCTGGAGACGCTGACTCATGCCTTTGCAGAGCGCATCAGCTTTGACGGCAACAAGGCGATGCAGTGTCTTCTCTTACTATGTCTTGCTTAACACGGCAGGCCATTTCAAGGCGCTAAGGATCGTAATCGGCAATGTCGACTGTTCTGTAATCTCACGCTTGTTTTGCGAGAAACATGCTTCTTCACCCGGAGCGTCCATGCAAACCATGCTCTGGCACGCGACAGTCAGCGCAGGCTGTTGGTGTGGAGATCTCGGTGACTTCTGACGATGCTCCTCAGGCAGAGGACGATTGCGTTTGAACGATGAGAACACATCTCCTTTTGCTCGTTGGCAGGTGGTTCAGCGTCGCCTCCGAATTCGGGCCAAGCACGAGGTTCTCTTATGCTGCCCGCGACGAGACAAAGCATCGCTCCCGACCTGAAGGTCATCATAGCAGCAGGTGTCCTCGCCACTCCGAAGTTGCTCACGTTGTCCGGTGTGGCCGAACCTAAGGCAGGGGCTGCATTGCGGAATCCATAAACCACACGACAAGCCGACTTCGCCAGCGTTGCTGGCAGGAGCTCGCTCGACTGGGTGTTCCCGCGTCTCTGGCATAGTTGAGGCCACGCGTCAAATCCGGTATGCATTAGATTCCTGGGAGGTGATCGCCAGCTCGCCTTCTGTCAGCCGCCACTTCCACGAGCACGTGGGGTTGTCAATTGTAGCGCATACCAACGTCCCGTGTGCTGACCTCAGCCACACTGCAAAGCCACATGGAGTTGAACAGGATGTGACAAGCCTTCAGGTCCGGAAGGGTATCACCTCAGCGAAGATGGAAGTGGCCTTGGGAATCTATGAAGTGGTGTTGCACAGATGCGAGCACTGGAACTGCCGTCGTGATTCCGCTTAGGACAAACAACGACGCATCTGGGAAACACGGACCAGTTCATTGGCACCTCGGTCGCAAGGACTGGCAGACTGTTGCTCCTTGTCTATAGCTAGGCTCTGCACAAGAAGCTCAGGACAACTCTACGCTTTCCTCAATGTCGGAAGCACAGAAGATGAAACTCGAAGCCAGTCGTTTCGTTTGCAGAACATGCAGGCCACGGACAATCGACCGGGTGAGCCTGGTCCAGTGGACGCTGAGGTTAGGATTGCGGTTAGGATCGTGTTCTTTGCCATGTTGTTGCTGCTTTGTCCCGGTCTTTTTTCATCTTGTCCTCAAGGTTATGTTGCTGGAGGGCTGCCTCGAAGGCCATCTCAGCTTGTGCTCGGCTTAAGCCAAGTCGCTTAGCAGCCTGGCGACGTATCATGTTGGCCCCATACAGCAAGCAGCCACAGCCTGCACGGCCGAGGACTTTCACGATCATTTTGCTGCAAGCGCGTACACGTGGAAGGTCGCCTGAAACCTCAGCAGTACAGCTTCTTGGCACTGTCTCCTGAAGGCTTGTCGTGCAGTCTCGACACCCGATGGCCTCGCCCCATCTCGACTACAAGCCCCTGAGCAACAGCGATGACATTCAGGCCCGACAAAGCTCTGCTGTTTTTCACGATGCAGCACTTTATTAGCCAGCATACCGTGAAAGCATCGGCTCTTTGCGGAGGGGCTTGTGTCAAAGAAGCAGCAAGAGCCTGCCCAAGACACGGGGGTGATCTCGGACCTGTCGAAAACCGGGTCGCATGATGCTGCTGATGTCGGCCTCAGTGGACCAGTCTGAGAGTGGGACGAGAAACACGGGGCCAATGATGCTGCTGATGCTGCTTGGCAGGGTGCGTGTGGCGGGCAATGAAACGTTGCCTCAACAGTATTTGCTCGGTTCCCCTACTCTACAAACCTGTTTGCTTCATGGTCCCAGATAGTCGCCCAGCAAGCTTGTTGGTTTGCTCAAACGCTGCGCGGTTTGAAGCCGGCCAGACGGGGGGGTGGTCTTGCGAGCATCTCCAGCGCAGAGGGGTGCCCAAGAAGCAGCTCCGCTTTCGCTGCATGTCCCGAGTGGTAGAGAAGACCTGCTGGTGTTCAGCTGGGACGAAGGGAAGGGTGCCGCAAAATGAGCGAGGATTGAAGAATTGAAGAACGCGGCAAATCGAAGTTCAAAGTCTTGACAGGTAATCGCGAACACCATTCGCCTCCTGTATCAGGCTTGACGTCTGCAGTCTCCAGTTAGCAGAGCATCTGCGTCAGCTGCGAGGGTGTTTTCGCCTCGGAGCAGATGGCTCCTTTCGAGCTGGGCATCAGTCCCGGTGTGGAGGCAAGTTCCGAGCTGTCCACTGGATGCTGTCGGCTACCAGCGCGAAAGAGTTCAGGTGGTTGCAGACTTCCAGAAGTTGGCGTCGACCTGGCTCGTTGACGCTCGCGTGGAGCTAGAGGGAGATCGGGTTGGAGTTATGCTCCTGACCTGTGACAGGCAATGGATTCGCGCCAACATCTACTACTACTCCCACCCCACTGGGACCGCGTATGCCTGCTCGTTGGTTTCGTTGATTTTGGGCTCTCCTCCCTGCTCGTGGGTATGCAGGGCTTCTGTTCACCTTCAGACGTGTGGATGTTACCTAGGGCCGAAGGCAACCAAACTTGTGTCCCGACATGAATATGCCCTTATGATACCCCGACTTGGCGCGGAAGTGCTTTCACTGCGTGCATTGAAGCTTTTCTGCTCCCAGCGTCTTAGCCATCCAGCAAGCCCGCTAGTACGAGTCAGGCTAGTGTAACGCCTAGCGGCCAAACAGCCCATGTCCACGATCAGATGGCGACAGCGGCATCCCATGCAGATGATCCTCAGTAACCTTCGCACCGAACCTTACTTTTGCTTGCATGTCATGGTGCCAGACCCAGAGCAATGGGCTCGGTCGTCAGAGTCTGACATCCTTGGTTTTGGAGTGGCTTGCAGAAGCCTTCTCAGGCCCGAGACGGCCATGCAGCATGCTGCAAAGCCGGAGCCAGGCACACTCAACCTGGCAGAGGGTATCTCAGCCTCGCATACCTGTTTCATTGCATCAAGCCCCAGCTTTCGTTGATGTGGGAAGTTGGCTGTCCGGCTGCAGGGCGGGCTGCTAGTTCAGCACCGGAAGTGACCCCGTCCTACGGAGAGGTGGGAGCTTCAGAGTCTGACATGGCCAGAGTCGGCTAGACCGAAAGTTGTTGAGAGAACGATGGCCCAAGGTCCATTCCGCGGACACGCAGTATGCTCTGTTTCCTGGTTTTGACGTGGTGTCGTTTCGAGATGCTGTGATCAGTGATCTGCCTGTGCTCTCAAGGCTGGGTGCTGATCCGGATGCATCCGAGATGGACCTGCGGCAGTGCTTCCTTCGCAAAGCAGTGGAAGTTCATCCCGCTACGCTCAGGCTCCTGCTTACAGCTACGAGTGCATTCTGTTAGGGTCCGCTTTGTCTGCGTCGGCTAAAGCTGCAGGGTGCACAGATCCAGCGAGCTTTCAACAGACGTTGAGCCCTTCTGCAAGGCACGCGAGGGCAGCTCTCAGTCGGTCAATCACTCGCTGTCCTTGTTTGTTTGGCCGTGAAATGCGCGAACCACCACCCACTGCCTCGATGCCGGGCCGTGTGCCATGCTGCACTCGACTTCGAGTTGCTGTTGCGGTTTTTGTCAAGGTGGCTGCTGCCTGGACAGAACTCCGCGATCTAGGCTCACGGTGGCGATATGATATGGATTCTCGGCGCACTTTGTGCTTCTTGATGGCTAGAACCTGCATGCAGCAGTTCCAGAGCTGTACGTTGGTGCCTCAGGAACTGCAAGCAGGTCGTGGACGTGTGTCGCAGGATGGGACCCACCGGGCACCACCCATGGACCTTGAAAAGGCAGAAATTTCTTTTTGTCTGTGGTTCATCCCGTTTCTGATGGAGCTCTGGAGGCCTTGGGAGTCTTTGCTTTCGAGTGTGAGGCCTAGTGACAAGTGGGCCGAAAACCAAAACCTGCGGACGTTTGGAGTCGAGCCGAGGACCTGGGTCTGCGAAAAGAGCGTCAATCAGGTGCATTGAATTCATATATATATATATATATAAATATATTCTATTATATTATATATTAATGTTATATATATATAGATATATTATATTATATATATATATAATATTATATTTTTCTCTTTTCGATGGCGCCGTTGCGCCGGAGCCTTCCATGCGCAGGTGGCACAAGACTTCGCTCCGGTCCTGGAGCTGGCGCATCAGCTCGCTTTGGACTTAGGCCTTAGGCTGCCTCTGCAGCACGGAGCATTCAGTAGAACGCGCAAACTTCAACTTCTGGTGCAGAGTTGGTGGGCTTAGGTAGATGAGCAGAGCGACACCAAGAGACACGTGCTTCCTGACAGTCAGGAGGGACCATTGCCAGCTAATGTAGTCCCACATGAAGAGACGAGCTGGAGCAGGTGACGCCAACAACAGTGGCTTGTGGTATGGCTGTGTCGGCTGGACTGTTGGCTGCTGGCTGCGTTGCCAGTGCTGCGGGATATCCTGCACTAGGCATGGCTTTGATCAACGCGCTTTCCAACATTCTAGGCTTCCTCGTTGCTTGGCCAGGCTCCTGTGTCCGAAAGGGCGCTCTCTTCCAGGGTGCCAGTCAGGCAGCAAGCGGATTCAATTCCTTGCGAAGTGGCTTGTTTGAATCAGCATGCCGGGCATTGCAGAATCGCTTTCTTTCTAAGACCCTTTCGCTCAGGTGATGACATCCAGGCAGCTTTGTGTTCAAACTCATCGACACTTTTCTTGTCCTGCTAACTGCATGTGCCGATTTCCGAGGCAGCTTGTGCGCGTGTGTCGCAAAGCGCCTCCAAAATTGGTGCGTCATGCACCGATGACCCACTGGCGACTCTTTTCGGTCCGTTTCCCAGCTGGGCGATGCATGTCCGTCGAGCGGCGTGCGACTATCATGGCTGTCAGAGACCGAGGTGGGATGTCATGCCTCCCCTATGAGAGATCTCGAGCGTGTCTTTTCCAGCAGGCACCGCCGACGAACGTCTTGATTGCTTGCTTGAGTACCCGATAATGGCGACTGCGGTCTTCGAAACCCAGAGTGCAGATGCTGAATGCTGACAAACCACTTGTCCAACTACAAAGCCAGACGCGCTCGGCCCACAGCCATGAGTTGAACGAGGCTTGTAGGCACAAGCAGTTTGAGGACTGCTAGCCTCTAGTTTAAGTGGCATGCGGAGCTTGCACTGTAGCTGCTTCGGCTGCAGGCACTCAACCCATGTCCATGCACAGAGGTCGCGCAGTGGAGTCTGCATAAAATCACACGAACAGCACGTACTGCACATTGCGTGGGCAGCGCCGCGGGCATTGTCGCAATGGCATGCAGATCGACTGATTCGTGTAAGCTGAGCTCATATTCTGCGAAGTGTTGAGCTCAGTTATTGAAGAGGCTTCGGCGTGCGAGCTGGGGTTTTTTCGAGTGGTCCACGATCGCTGGACCAGGATCCCAAGGCAGAGTGATTCGGAGGTGCCCTGCCCAGAGCAGGAGTACCAGCTGGCGTGGTATGCGGAGTGTCCCTGAGCCCTGTGTCCACTCAGGGCTTCGGGATTAGGTAATGATTAGGGCCGATTGCTATAGGCTTCAAACGGCGCGCGTCGCGTCGCTGTGTGCTGCGAAGATCTGTCTGGTCAGCCCCCTGGCATTAGTACCCCTTACTACCCCTTAGCAAGTTGCTCTTTCTCGCCCAAGCTTCAGTGCTCTCAAGAAGTGTTTTCGTGCTAAGACAGGGAGTCTTAGATCCGCACATCTGCACACAGTGACCGACCTGACGAGTTTTGGTAGCTCCCCAAGTTCCATTCAGTCTCATCAGTGACGCTGAGCCTTCACGGTGCTGTTTGTTTTGAAGCCCTTTTTGGCTGCACTCCGTTCACACTGCCCTGGTTTTAACGCAGCCCCTTCTTGCAAGACTTGCAGAGGGATTTTCCGCAGGGAAGTAAGCTTAGACAGCCAGGCAACACTGCAGCAATCAGAGAGAAATGCGACGGAGCGTGCATCAACTGCCAAGGGCATATCTTATTGAGGTCGGTGGAGGCATCTAGGATGGTCCTCGAGCGGTTGTTCTTGCTGTTGCTTGGCTGACAGGCAGCCGACGCCAGTGACAGCGAAGATTTGCTTGATTCTGACGAGGAGGAGAAACTCGAAGGGCTGAGTTGGTTCCTTCCATTGGGGAGTCGGCGAGATGTCACGCTTGAAAGGATGCTCGAGTGATACTTCCCGGAGACACGGTTCGAGTAGTGGCACTCCAGGTTTGCCTTTGCTTGTCCTAGAGAGGCTGAAGCGGCGACAGTGTAGCCCTGTGAGGGTGCCACTGGTCGTCTTGGTCAAGTTCTGAAGGCTCCGACACATTCAGGTGCGAGTGCAAAGTGGCAGTTGGCAGCGGGCAACCGCCGTCTCGATCCAGGTGGGAACTTTCAGGTCCAGCTGTTCCCCCCTCCTATAAGGCCTGAGGGCTTCACGACTTTGTCGTTTGCATGCGAGCGGTCATTGGCAAACTACAATTCCAAGTCTGGGGAGCGCTTCAGAAGCACTCGCAGTCCAGTGCTGTGGCATGTTGCCAGTGCATGAAACAGTGAGGGTAATGCTTGTTGACTCTCAACGTTTCGAGGCCCGATGCTTCAGCTCCGACGACGCCTGGTGTCAGTGGTGATGAGATTCGTTCATGATTTCATGGTGATTTCGTATGGATACTCTTGCTCACGCTCCGCCCTTCTCCCAGGAGAAGTAGTGCGAGACTCGTCAGTGTCAAGAAGGAGAACCTCCAGCTTGCGAATGTTGCTCGCTTAGGGGAGTTCTTCTGACAAAAGTAGCCATGACCAACCGCTGAAGATTCCGTGACCCAAGGAGAGCACATGTCCCCGGACTGGCTCTGAGAATGTTCCGTTATCCACAACGGAGTTTCTGTGATGGGTGCTTTGAACTCGAGCCATCTTGAGCCTTTCAATTTGGGATGGCGCCTGCATCTCCTGCCCTCGCAGACGTCGAAAACTGGCAGCAAAAAGGTGAAGCCAGTCCCAGCAACATGCTGTTCATGCTCCGAGCTTGGGGCTTAGGATGAAAAAGAGCGGAGTAGGTGCCTTGAGCATGCGGGTACAGAGAGAGGTCAGAATTGCAGAACAGGACCGCGTCAAACAGAAGATGCTCTGCTGCCGCGCGTATGCCTCCGGATCAGCTGTCTTGGTAGGGAATGGCTCTTGTCCATGGAACCCTGACTGCTAGGGATCGTCTAACAGGATGGAGCTTGCTTGAGCATCAGGATGACCTGCGAAGACGGATTGGGACGTCTTTGGCCCAGTATCCAATCAGTTACCTTTACGACGACGAAGTCGAGGCAAGCCCTGCAGGCTGTCTACAGCTGCAGGGGTTTCAAGCATTCCTGCGCCACATCCGAAGAACGCTGCACGAGTCGCCGCGAAGCCAAAGCCTGAAGGCTTTGACTCAGAAGTTCCGGACAGCGGCTGTGCCACCATCTCCCATGGCTGAGTTGTACGAGCTTCTGGACTTGAGAAACGATGTGCCTGCCCTGGCTGTTGCAGAGGCCGTTGAATCCGTAAAGCCGAGCCGGCGCTACTTGCAGTGGCAGGCCGCATGCGAGGCAGCGAAAAAACCCGGCAGGCTCGAATGTCATGAGGAGAAAATTCGGGAAGGACTCTGTAGAAAGGCACGAGCTCAAGGTCTCCCAGTGCCAAGTGAAGAGGAGCTTCAGGAGCAGCTTTCGCAGATTCTACGCTCTGGAGTGGATCGAGGAGTTGAACATGCAGAGCGAGCGGCAAGGCTCCGGAGCGAGCTCAGCCTTGATCCTGAGCATTTGAGGTGGCAGCGGGTTCGGAGTTTGTGGAAGGAGAGTGGTGGCGAAGAGCTGCTAGCCCAGTACCAAGCTTTAGATCGGGCACAGGGGGACGATCGCCGCATTCATGGCAGCGACTTCGAAGCCACCGATGCCAGGTGCATGCAGTCGAAAGAAACTACTCGCATAGTATAAACACTTCGGGGATCTTGTCTTTACATGGGGTCCGTCGGGCTGCGATCAGATATTTTTCTACATGTGTATATGTGACTTTTCTGGATTCCAAGGCTTGCAGCATCTCTCGCTGTGGCACTGCTACAGTCAAGGGCCGATCTCTTTCCTGCTGCTCCCAGTGCCGTAGAGGCCCCAGACTGCGAAGTCAAGTTCCTCCAGGGGTGTACATGGCACGATTCAAAGAGGCGCATTTGCGGCGAGGTTGACGTAGTGGTTTTGGCAGGCACACCTGGTGAAGAGGCATGGCAAGGGCTTGCCGTGGCGATTGTTGAGATGAAGAGCGGCTGGTTTGAGCTACCTGCGGCCCTTCTGCTGCAGCACGCTTCCAAGATTTCCAGTGCCCAAAATGGGGAAGCTTCTCTGTATTGGAACAGTCACCACATTCAGCTGGGAGATCCTTATGTTTTCGTGGCAACACTGATCCCTCATCATCCCTTTGTGATCGGCTTGGATCCGGAGCTTCTCCGGGCAGTCAGCAAGAAGCTCTTTCAAGGCAACAAGCAGCGGCAAGTGGCACTTCCGAGTATTCTTAGTCAAAACCTAGGGTGTGAAATTGCAGCCACTCCATTCGCTCACTCGGCCTTTTCTCAGCTCTATTTCTCAGCTCTATATTGGTTGCCAGAGATCGGGCCGGTTTCCTGAGCACGACGCGTAAGTGAGTGGGAAGCGTTTGTCCATTTTCAGTCCCATATCGTGTTCCAATTTGCGGGAGAGTACTTTTTACAGGGCCGAGCTACGGTTTTCAGCCATGCCAAAGCCTCATGGCTATTTTCGCATGACGCAGGCTCTACCATACCAACAAGGAATCGAACCCGCAACAAACCTTCAACTCGAGCCTCCCAAACGAGTGGAGCCAGGCAGAGACAGAGACAGAGACTTGATGCTTAGACAGCATGCTAGATGCTTGACAGAATGACGCCGCCTCGCCTTCCATGAACCCGACAACCACAAAGCAGGAGTGATGGCCAGTATAAAGCCAAACCGAGGAAGCCGTGCCTTTGCAAACCTCGCTTGGTCGAATGGTCGGCGTTACATCCCTTCTTGTTTGATCATCAGCTGGAGGTTGGCTTGAAAGTGTCGGCATTCCTGGTAGCTAGTAGCGAGGCTTGGGCGGCCTCAAATCATCAAGCGACCCCAACACCCGCACATGTTGACCGGAAATTGTGGATTGTACTGTGAGTCCACCGTGCACTTCCACCACTGCGAACTGAAATTTCATGAAATCGTGTTGATGAGCCTTCCGTATGTTCTTGTAGCGGATTCAAAATCTTCCTTAGGAGTCTCCTGCCAGGAAGCTGTACGGCGGGCGTTGCTTCGTGCACTCGCGTGTCTAGTCTTTGCAGCCAGTCGTAAATGTGCCCGCAGTGAGGTAACTCCGTGGCTCCAGTGGAAGAGGATTTGGCCGAGTGCGAGAAACTCCGCAACTCTCTGCGAGCCGATCATCACCTGCGCTCCAGGCTCCAATCTCCAGACACGTAGCCGAGACGTGACTGCATGTTTGCGACATGCTTGCGCGATCAGATCAGGCTAAAGTCTTTTGGGAGTATCAGGGGGCCAGAGATAGGAAGATCCTAAAAGCTCTCCCATAATATGAACGAGAGAGGTACTCCCGACCAAAAGACCAGCACGTGTCCCGCCTCATGGAAGGGATCACCAAACTTACATTGCAAACGTAACGCCTCTGTTTTGCAGGCTGTCGCTGTCCCCACACGGATTGCTTCAACATCCGGAACTCAAGCACAGGATTCTGGTTCTCGGATCACATGCAGCTACTTCAGCAGGAGAGATTTCTTGAGTTGCACGACGAACGGAAGACTCCGAAGCATCGACGTTAACGGGCTTATCGAGACTGGACATGTTAAAGCACTGTTGCGGGCTCCAGGAGGTGCCTGCAAAGCATGGTAGGCGTGCGGAGATGACGTGGGCCACTGCATCCTCACATTCTCAGCAGCGGCACCTTCTCAGTCCGGGCCGCCGCCGCTTCACAGGGAACCAGGATGCAGAAAAACATGCCAAAGCTATGGAGCTTCGTGAACTTTGAAGACGGTCGATGTAAGATACCTCCTGTCAACGTGGGCGAGGTCGAACAGAGCCAACAGACTCGGGACAGTGCTTGGACTCCCCGCATTGTCTAAAAAAGTCGGGCGGCCAAAACAGCATCGAAGCAGAGACAAACGATCAGTAGGCTTCGGATGGCACAGGACGGCTCGAATACACCGAGATGGATCTCCCGGCGTGGTTGATTCGCAGCCATGTCCCCAGAACAGTGATCCAGTGCGAATTCCCTCCACTTCCGAAACTTCTTCACCTGACAGGCTTCGCGTTCTTGGAACGACCAACTTACGGGCACTTTGCTGAAGTATGCCGTCACAACACTTGCACCTGGGGCACAAACGCAGCGGGCGACTACCAAGGTAGCAGACACCTCAGTTTATCCGGAGTCACCATCTGGACATAGCGCCGCACTGGCCTGCTTTGCCAATTGATCGGCTGGCCACCCTGAAACACTTGCTGTCAGGATGCACCTGCAAGACTTGTTGGCGAGCTTTGCGCTCGCTTCGTGCTTCGTGACATCGCTCGTGCGACGGATCCAGTTAAGGCTCGGGTCCCAGAACAGCCGTGCAAGCACTCTGAGACTGAGTTTGTTCTCAAGCTAGGGTATGTTTTAAGCATATTTCGTCATTGCCCATGGCTTTTGAAGTCAATGGAGCCTCAACGCCAGATCCGAGTCCGCCTGCGTATCACAATTTGATCGGTGTCCCAAAGAAGACACATGCTGCCCACGTAGGAGAAGACGCACATAAAGCTGTCATGCTTCATAGGCCTTAAAGAACACGCAACTCGCCACCAGGATCATGCTGGTGGACCTGCTGTTCAGCTTCGCGGGTGCCACCCCATGTGGGGTTTGTTGAGCTCCTTTGCAGCTTTGCTTGCTATGGACCGGGCCAGCAAACCAGGTATCGAGGTGTTCGGATGCCATTGCGTGGGTTCGGCACCAATGGCGTCCGGGGCGAGAAGGCAGGACGTGCATCTAATGCAGGCTGAGGTATTCTAGCTGAGATGAAGGTGCGACAGTCTTTGACCTCGTTTTTTCAGCTTGGTGGACGGATGGTCCTGTTCCTAGCATGAGATCATGAGATCTTCCTGCTGAAGCCTGCGTTCACTGCGGGCAGAAAGATCGCGAGCCTGCGATGGATGAGGTTGACACAGCGGTGCTGTATGAAAACCATGTTGACATCGGCCGCGTCGTTGCCAACAGCAAGATACCACGCGAGGAGGCGCTCATGTGAATTTGTTAGGAAAGGAGAAACTGTACGAGTCATGTCAATGAGGTTTTCATCGTCAGCAAGATTCCGCCAACTCAGATGGGTCTTGGCCTAAGGCGACCTGCAATGTCAACACAGATGTAGTCAATGTAGTCCATGCTCGGACTCCTTTCTCGCCCGCCCCAGGGTTGGACGAAAGCTACGAAGCTGTCCTCCGAAGCGTGAAAGAGCTTGGCACACATCTGGATTTGGCCAACTTCTCGGCCGAGAGCTGCTGTTTCTGAATCCTGTGTTTCATTCTTGTGGTTTCGCTTCGTGCTTTCGACTTAGGTGCTGCTCCATTGGCCCTCTAACTTCGACAAGAAGGAGCTGTGTATCGCAGACTGCTCACGAATCCTCCTCGTGCACGTTCCGTGCACCATGTTCGTTTGAAGTTTGAAGGATCCGCTCCCCGCCTGTGCAAGCGTGTCCTGGCGGGCATGTCGAGCTGCCGCATGGAAAGGGCTGGAAAGAGCCTACATGGAGGGCAAGGCCACGGCTGCTTGCTATCACTAGGTGTTTACCATACATCACCATGTTGGGCTCTCCTCCGGCCTGTCTTTTGGCATGGCAGTGCCTAGCTAGCTAGACCGGTGGGTACTGCAATATGAGCTTGTGGGCTAGGGACTTATGCATCATGAATCGGAAAGGCGGGTAGACTTCGGGAGCGGTTCCGGAAGTCGACTCGCAAACATCTTGGTGTATGTGTGGTTGCGCTCCGGCGCCCCCTCCGGTCATCCCTGCTCCCCCGGTGGAACAGGTCTTGAGCTTGCATGCGGAATGGTTGGGTGGTTTGCTTTAGGCCTTCTTTCAATGCTTGCGCCTGTGATCATCCCCCGCCCCCCTCCCCCAATGTGGAACGGCTGGCGTCTTGATCTGAGGATTTTAGTCACCCCCTCCAACCAAAGAGGGGCCCGCCGAACAGGCGCCCAAGGCTCCAGACCCGTCTATCCATTGTATGTGTTTATGTGTATATACATACATGTAATATGCAAATAGATAACATGCGCGCATGCATGTACTTATGCATTGTACGTGCGTATGTATTTATTTGCAATGTGCATATTTATACACGTATGCATGTATGCATGTATGTATGCCTATACATACATACAGACATCCGCAAATATATTTACATACTTACATATGTACATGCATGCATACACACATGCATACATATATACGTGTAGAAGTACATCCATATACATCTACGAAGGCATACACCATTTTCACATGTCCGGCAGTTGTGGCGATGAGACCAAGCCAGCAAAAGCAAGACCAGAGCAGACATGCTTCGCTAGGTCATGCCGTAGCAACTTCAGGAGGAAAATGGCCTGGTCGGATTGGGGCATAGGTTTGCGAAGTGGAGAAGGTGACGTTTCTGTTTGAGCTCATGGTGCATTCTCGCAAGGTCTTTCTGACGCTTAGAGACGATGCGGTATGAATAATGTGATAATGTGTGTGTGTGTCGGAAGCCAGAAGCATCAGGTGCGAGCCCTGGGTGTGTCGAACTTCGGCGTGAAGCATCTCTCTGCATTGTTGGCGGATGGTCCGTCATTGCCAATCGCAGTGAACCAGGCAGGTTGGTTCATTCGTAGTAGCCTGGTTCAGCATTTTGCTAGCAAGTATTCCGAGCCACCATGCACAAATGCAGATTCTTTTGTATAAGTGGGGTTGAGCAGGTCTCTTTAAGCCTGTGAAATTGATGTGGCAGCAAGAATACTGGGAGGGCGTAATGAAATCGCAATTCTGCAGTCCTAAGCAGTGAACTGCACAGAGTCACCCCTTCTGCACAGAACAATTGTTACTGGCTTTTCGCGAAAAGCACTGCCGGCAGATTGAGCTGCACCCCTGGTGGCCTCAGCTGGCCTTGCGAAAGTGTCTCAACTGCAGTGCTGCATATGCAAGGCTTGGCAAGCCCTCAGAATCTGAATACGGGTCAAGACCGACAACCATCGTAAATGACTCCTTGTGAGTTGTGTAATTCACTCATCCTAGTTGCCATACACAACCGCCACCCGGCCATGTTCCCTTTTACCACGAATCATGATGCGCCCACTGCCAGTAGCTGGTACGAATACTTAGCTGACCGTGGCTGGAACCATCTGCAGCGAACCCCGGCAGCAGGACCCAACGTCTCTGCAATGCAGTGCAGGTGCTTGAAGTGGCCAGGTTTATCCTTGGTTTATCCTGTTATGTGACTTTGCTGGTTCGTCCTCTCGGAGCGACACTTGCCCCACTCCACATACATACATACATACATACATACATACATACGTACATATTTATACATACAAACGTGTATACACATGTGTATATGTATAGATAGATGCATATGTACATAAATACATACATATATAAATATCTACATACACACGTACACATGTACCTGTATATGTGGATATGCGTGGTTTTGTACGTACGTACATGCATACGCGCACACATGCATACATCACTACACACATAAGTACATACATTGACATGCATGCATACATGAGTACACACGTAAGTACAGACATACAGGCACACATGCATAGGACAGACGGACACGTATACGTATGTTTATCTACATGCATACCTACGTACATACATGCAGACAGTCTCTTCTTTCTGAACACATCCGGATAACACTGTCTCAAGGCACATCCCAGCTTGTGTCAGCAACAGAAGCATGACCAAGGTATTGCAAAGAGAAGCATATAGCGCTGATGGCCTCGCCGACAACTTGCCAAGTCTCTCGCCGGTGGCATCCTGGAGCATTGTGCATTCGCCAGGCCTATGGCTCCTTGGGAAGCTCCTTGCTAGGTGGCGCCACACTCCGCTCACCAGTCTTCGGCTGAGTCGGCACAGCATGGGACCTGGAGCTCCTGAGATTCCAACACAAGGCGGTCGCGAAGGTCTCGAAGAGAGTAGGCCGGTCGCCAGCTCAAGCACCTTGGCCAGCCAGTAGGCAGATATCTGTAGATGTTTACATGAAGGATGATATGTGCATCTACAGCTGTTTTGGTGAACAGGTGTTGCTGCGCTGGGCGGTGCAGCAGGGCGTGGCCGTGATTCCGCGCAAACCCAAGTATGTAAGGTAGGGTTTGTGTTTGAGGTTTGGTGAGAGTAGATCGGGCTCCTGAGGACGATTGGTGGATGCAACAACCACTGTGTTTCATGTGTCTCACATGGCCTCATGAACACAGCGTGTGTGGAGACCAGTGTGGTAGTTCACAAACCCTGCCTGTTCGCAGCGTTTGCCGGCTTGTCAGGAAGACTCGAGAGCTGTGTTGCGGTGTACAGCAGCGAAGTGTGTTCTTGTCGGTTTCAGAGTTGGCACGCTGTACAGCAGTCTAGGCAACCAGTCCGGGCAACCGTGGTCCCATGGCTGTAATCCGTAAGCTTTCGAGTATGGCCGTGGCCCCGCACTGATGGCGTCCACCAGGCACGAAGACCCATCGCACGTCGGACCATTGCGGCAACGGAGCGTTGTGCTTTGCTAAGGTATGGCAAGATCGCCGAGGACGTAGAGCTGGGAGCGCGTCCTCGCACTGTACAGGTCGGCTTCTGCCGAAACGCAAGCCTAGGGCGCCTAGTCAGATGCGGCCAGGCGCGCGAGGTGAAGTGGTCAGCGCCCGATGGCGAGGCCCAGTAGACAGCCAGGGCTGTGCGCGTTCACGGTGAGCGTCAAGATGATCTTGAACCAAAGTCTCTGATGCTGACGCTGTCAGGACGACAGTCATCGACAGGACAATTGAAGTGCCAAAGCGACTTGCAAAAGAGCGTTCTCCAGATGTGTCTCAACTCACCGCCACACTGCCGCAGGACCTGCAATCGCAGCTGCTGACCCAGCTGAGAAGACTCAGCACTACACAGAAGGCGACCTGACACACTGCATCGCTCAATGTTTCAGTTCTGCACTGTTTCTGCACCACAGCATCGTCAGGTTTTCTCCTAACGTAAACACACGCACAGGTCGCTCTTTGTGTGTGCATCCTTGTGGCGATAGTTTGGTTGCGGCTCGGCCTGCAGAGAGTTGACCTGCTTTCGTCGCCAGCTTCCACATGGCGAAGCTGAGGCTCAGTTCATCCTCGCGGCTTGCTCGCAATGCAGACTCGCCGGTACAGAAATTGAGGGTTCACGGGGCAAAGCGCACTGCGACCGTGCGTGGTGCAACAAAATCAAGAGCTAAAACGCTGCACACCTCGCAAAAGACGATTGACCGTTGGTTCGCGGCGAGGTCAAAGAAATGCTGATACAAAGCAGACGACACATCGAAATATGTCCAAGAGGAGGAAATTCTCGTCGAAGCCCGCGGACTCTGAGGCAGCAGAACTCGGGCTCCTGCACGACAAGAGCCTTCCTCAACTCGAACTCCCGCTGCCTTCATCACTTTCCCTCATCCAGCTTGGAAGGCTTCAAGACATTCCAATGTCAGGTGGATCTTGCCATGAGACCCAGCCCATAAAAATCCTTGAGGTCCAGCAGAAATCGTGTTGTGGCTATCAACAACTTCACATGCTCCCTTCAGATTTGTGGCCACAGCGCGCAGCCTTCTGCCGGCTCCGATGCGTGTCGTCAATACAGAGCCTCTGGCGCTCACCGATTCGTCTAAGAGCCGCATATCGAGCCTTCAGATTCAGGAGCCACCCCGATCTCCGAAAACCTCAGGCTCTTTTTCCCGCATCAAAGCATTCATTTCGTGTCAAGCCGTGCTGGCACAGAGCTCGTGAGTTCCTGGGCTTTCTGCATAGGTTCAGAAGCCAGTGTCTCAAAGTCTGAAGGTCAAGCCCAGCATTACCAGAGCCGAAGCCGATGAGATCCGGCGCTCAAAGACATGCGGCACCAAAGCACTCCTGGGATGACATCACCAAAGGCACCGGCGCACCGATCCCGACAGCTGTTGGGTGAGCAGAGGACAAGTTCTCGGCGCCAGGCTCTATCTTGGAGATTACCCGGAATGGCCCACTGATAGCCGTGGCGGCTCGGTTGAGGGAAGATGGCCTAGTTCGGTTGTGTATGCGGTAAAAGTAATGTGAGGTCGCAGAACCAGCAATAGCAAACATTTGCCGGGGCTGCCTTGCATTTTGCTCTCTGAATCATGCAGATAAGGATGAGAACGGACCTGTCTGGGGCCATGATATTGGTCAGGCCGCCGCACGCTGCCGCTGCCGCTTGCCAGTGGGTTCGATTCAAGTCCAGAGTCGCGCGCGTCTGCACAGGTCATCGCGGGCCATCTGGTCGAGGCTGCATCGGAGCCTGTGACGCAGGATGGTCACACGCTCATTCTGTTGGAGCCAGCCGGGGCTGTGGAGGCGGTCCTTAAACCCGCAAAACAGTGTTCAGTAGGACCAGGACCAGATGCTTTTTGGGTCGGCTTGCAGGCGTCCCGAGTCAAGATTGCGGATCCAGAGGATGCGGCCCTCTACAAATCTCAGCCAGCTTGTCACTAAGTCGTGAACGTTCCATAGTTGCTGGTGGCTGTGCAGATCTTTGAGCCTCGCCAGGTTGAAGGCCAGCAACTGGAAGCACACGATTTCCAACCTGAAGCCATACATGAAGGCAGCTGGTGGGAATCGGAAGTGACGTCTTGCCGCAGTCTTGGGTGCCCTTTTGGCAGGTACTGTGCTGCAGGCGGGGTGGTCTTCGTGACTCAATGGCTTCACTACGGCACTACGGGTCTCATGGGGACTCTGACCACTCGACTCGCATTTGCATATTGCGGCATCAGCTCTGCACATCGAGCACAGGAGAGGCCAGTGAGCATGGATTTAAGACGTACAAATTCGAAGGCACCGGAACCACTGACAACCACGCGCTGGCCCACCACTTTTACCGGTAGCTGTGAGTTTCAACAAGCTTGATCAGAACAAACATGGGTTCGTGCCGCCGGTATCTCCGGGTCAGCGCATAGCGTAGAGTGGCATGCAGTGCAGAGTAAGGCACAGACTATCCAAACTGCCTCGAAGCTCGTAAGCACAACTCTATTTATTCATGCTGACATGGCTTCGCTTGTTCAACGATATGGCATCATGAACGTGAAGCCGGGGAGAGAGTAGCATGTGGGTGTGTGTAGTTCTACATATTCAATTCGTGCAAGTGTTAGCATCAACGTGTGTGTGTGGGTGTGCCCTCGTCCAGTATTAGTTAGCTGCCTGCGAAATTGTTGCCTGGTTTTGTGTCGTTGCTTTGGCATGAGCCTTTTGCTTCTATCATGAGTTGCCCGGACCTACCCCTAGACCCTACCCCGCAACCTAAGATAAATGCTTATTAAATAAGCACTATATGGTGGCCCACCATTTCCCTCGGGGTTAGGAAGGGTTGAAGCAGTAGGTTGTGAACTACAAGCCCAGACAGTCCTGCGTAAGGGGCAAGGCAGGATGGAATGCCCGGGACAGGCGGGGCAGAGGAGGGAGGGTAGAGGGCAGGGCAGGGCAGGGCAAGGGCACAGGGCACACAGGGCACACAGGGCACACAGGGCACACAGGGCACACAGGGCGCACAGGGCACAGGGCACAGGGCACAGGGCACAGAGCACAGGGCACAGGGCACAGGGCACAGGGCACAGGGCACAGGGCAGGGCAGGGCAGGGCAGGGCAGGGACAGCCAGGCAGGCAAGCAAGCAGCAGCAGGGTAGGGCAGAGCTGGGGTGGGGGGGTGGGGTGGCTGAGTGGGGCGGCAGGGGCGGGGACCAACCCCGTTCTCACGACGTGTTCATTTATGCTCACATAATAATTACTCATGTAATGCTCATGGGCGGGGTTGGTGCTTGCAAACCCCTTAAGAGCTGGTTCTGAGGTGGTGTTCATGTTTTGCTCACATAATACACAGCTCATGGGCGGGGTTGGTGCTTGCAAACCCCTTAAGAGCTGGTTTTGACTGGGGTGGGGTGGGGTGGGGTGGGGTGGGGTAGGGTGGGG